GCTAATTGGTGGATCTCTCCTTGGTTTATTGGCAAGAATCCTACCCTCTTCTGCAAATCACAACCAAAGCACAACCACCATAAGTGTCATAAGATTGTATTAATTGATAATTAATGATAAATGTTTCATATTCATTAAATGGGAGGATAAAATGAAAGACAATCAAACTTCTAAATGTTTCTGATTTGTTTAAATCTATACCGGTCTAATTTATTTAAATCTGGTGTTATACTATGTATTATACATATTTTATTATTATCTAACTCATATTAGGTCTGATTTGTTTAGTATAGTGAAGTTCGATATGTTCTAATTTGACTATTTCGTTGATTAGCGTCACAGTTATTCTTAACAGTTAGATTTATCTTATCAAAATCTTGTTTTGGATAAAATTACAAAATTTGTTCAGAAATAATTATATATTTATAACTAAAATGAAAAATTATTTACAGAAATATGAACCCTTTAGTTATATGTACCCTTTATTTATAGAAATATGAAAATTATTTATAGAAACATGAAACCAAATTAGGGGACCGTATTTTGGGGATGAGAATTAGTGAAAATAGGCTGGTCAAAAGAAAGGAAGCTTAACACGGTCAGGCGCGCAATTTTTGATTGATTGCTAAAATTACGCCACACAAATAATATTCAACGCAGCCGTCCAACTCGTAGCAATCAATCAGTAGGAACATTTATTTTGTTCACGTTACTTGTACTTGTACTCATCTCTTTTTCGAATCATTCATGGAAAAATTACGCAAATTGTAGACACCTTCATGTTCATCTGTGTAGAATAACAATCCGTTTAAAAAATATTGTGAATTGCATGTGTACACAAGTTGTGTATAATTTATGTACAAATTTTGAGGCTCATTCATTTTAACTACGGTTTTGAGCTTAATAGGTTCGAAATAGGACCTAGCTATATGTGCAAGAGCATATATGTATGTATGTTGCTTAAAAGACAAAGTATTCCTTTGTGTGCATGTGGTTTTCTAATGTTTGTTAATGATGACATGAGAAACAATAATTAAAGGATTATTAGAACTTATATATGAGGTTGTCAACGGATCGTTTTGAGTCATTTGGTTGCTTTTTAAAAATAGTATATTTATATGGCACTTTATTAAGTAAATGAACTTATGTGATGATTCCGTAATAGTAAAAAGACTTATTTGATCGTTTTCCCCTCTCTTTAATATACACATACAGAGTGTTACGGAAATGAAAATCAAAATTAATATGAATATGAAGTTTAATATAAATTTATGATAAATGGATCCAACATGAAATTTATGAATATTCAACTATATCAGGCTATGACTATTGACTTTTATATATTTTGGTGCCCAAGATTGCCAATAATAACTTATTCTGTATTACGATAGTATTAATTACCATATTAGGCCAAGTATGAGTTGTTACTAATAATTGTAACAAATGGTGGAGAAAATGTAGAAAGTCACAATGTCACCATCTTGTATATATTTTGAATTAATCAATACTTGGATTTGAGCATGGTGATTTACCGTGGAAAATATTGAATCTATTTGCCTATAGTCAAAAACATTGAATAAGTAATATCAGTAAATTAAAAGTGGACTGAGCACTGGCCAGTGGCGAACATCCTTAGTTTCAACCCATTATCAAATAAAAATAATGATCGATCCACCATTTCTAATGTATATAGACGCCTATTTGGACGGGGACATCATTCATAAATAAATTTGCTAAACTACTTACAAATTATGCTAGTTATCATCTAACTAATAATCTTAGTCATATTAAGAGCCTTTTTGATAATATCCAAATAGGTTGAATGTATTGATTGATTTTGCTGAAACTTATGAGTTCTAGCTGAAACTTATATTTAAAATATATTTTATTAACTTCAAAATGATGTTTTACAATAACTTCATTCAGTACAGTCTGGAAAGAAACATTTTCTAATTGTTAAACTATTCAGCACGCAAAATAAAAAATTACGTATTTGATAAGAAAATTGGTTGATAAATCTAATACGGAGTATGTTGGAACAACGTAGCCAAACGGGTTTTAAGTACTTTTGTTACAGGGTATTATATCAAAATGTGCCACCTAGCTTAAGGAAAAATTGCACCGGAAAAATTATTGCAAATAAGTGAATCTTCAACGAAATATCATAACACCTAGTACTATCTACATTTTAATTTTGGAGAATTTTAAAAACTTTGATTTTGCACTCTAACTCTAACACCCCACTTTTGTATAGAAAAATTAGGAATAGAGTGTAATGTCAAACAAGTTTTAAAGGAAATTGGGTGTAAATTAAAAATTTTATGAAAAGCATGTAAACCTAATGTATCTAAATGCAATTTTTTTTTGTGTTTTTACATGAGTTCTTTTTTCTGGTTCTAGAGGTTTTTTTGGGTAAAGCTCTGGAGGTTTTGTTATATCATGAATTGAAATGTAAGAATATACGAGATCCAATTAAAGAAACTAACCTCGCGCAATTTAGAACATTTCGTACTCCTTCCCTGATCACTACTACTACACCCGGCGGCGACTGCAGTTTGAACGTGATCATCTTTATTAGCTGAACCGTTTCCGGCCATGCAAAGCTGCATGAGCTTGGCGGTGGCCTCCTCCTCATCCTTACATTCCATCATCAGCTTCTCTACCTCCACTTTCGGGAGCCGGAGCTTGAGGCGCACGCCACCGTTCTCCGATGTCCCCGCCTTCTCGGCCTCAACGGGAAACCTAGCTGACGGGTTCATCGACGACAGATCCGAGGACGACCTTCGGGACAGCATTAGGCTCTCGAGCCGGTCCTTGGCGCTCATCTGAATCGTTCCGGACCGGACCCGCCTCGGCGTTCTTTCCTCGGGGACCTTAGGTATCTCCACGAGGAAATAGAGCCGCTTGCTCCGCAGCTCCTGCTGCGGCTCAAGCGGCTTGGCCCGAATGCCGAAGTGCTTCACGGCCTCGGAATCGAGTAAAACATGCCCTGGGTAATTCCTCACGATCTCGCCGGCATATGCTGGAGTCTTGAACTTCATCGTCTGCCCATCAATTTTCATCACTTTAGTTGTTTTCTTGCCCCCTAAACTATTACCCATTCTTTGATTTGATGATCTGTACGTATTTCTTCTCACCTTAAATACAAACTCCTAGCTTGCAAGTTGTAACTTGTAATGAATTATACGCAACCAATAAGATCAAGATAGATCAGAACTTATCTTAACGAGTAAGATGAAGAACATTCAAATACTAATGAAATGGAAATGATAGAGGACCGGTGCGAGTTATTTCAGATCAGAAATATATATATATATCGGCTCTATACATTAGTAGTAGTATAAAAGAAAATAAAATAATAAAACGTTGACGATTGTGTATGGTATAAGGGTCAAAGAAAGAGAGCGGAACGAGTTTGAAATATGGAGACTCATCATTCAAATCTACGTAAAGGATCGGAGTACCTCATTTACTTCGTCTATCGTTTACTAAATTAAAGGGTCGGTTTGGAAATTGGAATTCGGATTTCGGAGTGTGACAGGGAAAAAGCTAAACAAAAGGGTCGAAAGAAAAAGGCACTTGGTTATAATTTTGACATTTGCAAACATTTTTTCCACCTCGTTTTTTTAAAAATTAGACATTGTACGCATTGATTTTTCCCTTAAAAAAGCTTTTGAATCTCTAACTTCAAGGGTCTTTCACATCCCGATCCGACAAGACATTTGAAGGGTTGTAAGTTACGGTGACTCAATGCGCCAAATGGTGATAGACTTTATGCTCGTGCGCACGTGAGATCTAGCCCAACACATATAATAAGTTGTAACTCCGCACGATCGTTGCAAGTTTCGATCTTTGGTCAATGTTCAAAAGTGTATTTTTAAAAAAATGAAGTGCAAAGTATGATATCACCCAAAAAGTGAGATGCAAAGTCAAAATTCCCCTTATTTTGTTCCTTCTGGATATATATTTCCAATATGACCTCAACAGGATCCTTTTTATCTATGCTTATTATTTCTCATATGATCCGTTCTGAATATTTTCCGATCATATCTAATTTTGATTTGAATTTTTCTAATTTAATCTGATTTGATGAATACCATAGAGATTTGAATTTTTCTAATTTAGTATGGAATATTATTTAGATTCTGAATTTGATGAAGTGCACATTTAAAAGTTCTTGAACACCATCACGACATCAAGTATATTGAACGATAAATTTGAAATACAAGTTGAGGGCCTTATTATTCTAATGAGAAACGATGAATTCTAACTTATGTTTTGGAGGCGAAAGTTATACTTGACAAAAATATTGGTCAAAAGGTTTTAATTTCGAGGTTATGATTCGTCTCATTGGATATTAATTCATTTCAAATTTGAATGCCTCAATTTAAAAAAAAGGAAGATTAAGAGTGACGTGCTATCAATGTTATTGATAATATGACCTATAAAGAACCTTTTTAAAAGCTATGATACTTCCGGTACATTATTAACATACATGGCATTTCATTTTTACAAATCTTCCTTAGGGCTATCGAAGGAGTCACTTAAATTGTGAAATCATGGTATTGCAGTATCAAGTAATAAAACTTATTCTTACATCTTACACTTTATTTTAAATTTACTTGCAATTTTTTAAACGATTAACATTTTCCTTTTTTCTACAAACTAGTACGTATCATTTTATATTCAAAGTTAAAATATATAAGCTCTACTGTGTTTTTTCATTTAAAATAATTTCATATTGTGGATAAGAATAAGAGAGAACTCGAAATCAATACAAATTCTCAGTCAACCGCGTGGTCTGAACCCAATTTAAAATCAGCCGTCTAACCTAACGTTGATTATAACAAACGTTATTAACCAAATACCGAAATAGTATGAAACTTAGGCAGTGAAATTAGTGACAACCGTAGAACACTCTTAAAAGTAGCTTAACCATCCATTAATGTTTAGCTTGATGTTTAACCATATACTCTATCTTTGACACAAAGGACTATTATTCATTATTTGTCATTAGTTGTTAATTAGTAACGTAGCTAAGGATATTACACAAAATGGCAGGAAAAGATAAAATAGTTGCGATTGAGGAAGGAACTCAATTTTCTAACAATGAAAGGATTGAGCCTTCTGGTTCTTTCTGCACTTCGTCTGCAGTGGTAGAAATCATTCAAAAGGTTCATCTGAAAATTTCATCTCTCATCTGCCTATTTCTCTTCATTTTTTCCGGTGATTATTACTCCGTATTTTCATATTAATTCAGCAATTAATACCGTGATTGAATCGGTTACTTTATTATAAATAAATTGGTGATTACATTTATGCATTTGGCTGCAATTTGGACGGCTGTTTTCGACACGGTCCTCCAATAATGAATACTCACAAATGCTAAAGGTACTCCATTTGGTACCTTATTTGTACCCCCACCCCTATGTTTGTGGTTCACAAAAGCACTTCATTAAAATGAAGCAATTAATAAAATGTGGTGGACTTTTGAGAACCACAAACTAGGGGATGTGGTACAAGTGAGGTATCAAATGGGTATCTCTAGCAAAACTCATGAATAACACACAAGGTAAACATAATTTTGGGCAATTAACTTTTCAGGTAATTGCGGAAACAATCGGAACATACTTCCTGATATTTATTGGGTGTGGTTCGGTAGCCGTTGATAAGATATACGGATCACTAACATTTCCGGGTGTAAGTGTGGCATGGGGCATGGTCATCATGGTCATGGTCTACTCCGTTGGTCATATTTCTGGTGCCCATTTTAACCCTGCTGTCACTATCACATTTGCCCTATTCCGCCAATTCCCGTGGAAACAGGTCAGATCCGTTTTCATTAATTCTGTATGATTCTTTTTATGTTTGTGCATACTTGTGTACACACTTTCATCAAATTTGCTTATACACAAAACATGTATGTAAACAGAAAATATCTGATAGTATGTAAGCTTTAGAGTCGGGACAATGTTTTTCAGCTAATCAGACTTATTAATCAGTTTTTTACTGAAACAACTACCTTTTGATTTCGAGCGTTAAATTGTGTAACACGAAGTAATAAATAAGTAAGGATGAAATTACTTTTCTGTTTGTATTGACTGAAGTTATTGTAAATGATCATTTTAACTATTTTTCATATAATTTTTTCCTTTATTTAATTAATACGTAGTAATATATATTTTAAATATAATTTTTCTTAAATCAGCAGAATCAACAAATACAACCACTTCAACCGATTTCAGTGTTACCAAACGGGCTCTAATTCTACCGTAATTAGAAAGTTACACAAACATTAGTTTGTTAAAGTATGAGTACTATTCTGTGAAATTTGATACTAATTTAACCTATATTTTGGTACACATAAAACCATATCTATTGCACTTCGCTTACATACATTTTTTCCCCATTCGGACACGTTCTACTTATCGGCCAATTCAACTGACAAAGATTATATATGACTTGTTGTATGAAAGATAATGAAATATATGCGCCTAAAAGTAACATGGTCGGTTTAATATTAGGTGTTTATATACCTAAATTTGTTATTATAGTGCCTAAATTAGTTTTAATATGTCCCCATTTATGATGCACACACATTCAAGTTAAGTTTGGCACTCTTTGAATTGGTCCAAAATAGCTAAAATTGATGAGGGGGGAGGTGCCATGGTGGGCGCGCTGTTATAGCAAACTTGAGTAAATTCCTAAATCAAAACTTTAAACAATAGTGACTTTCTTTTATCTCTATTCTTTGACTTTGATTTCCTACTCGTTTTAACTTTAACACTCAATACTCCGTATATTATTTGAGCTCAAAATGTCAAAACATATGCTAAATCCATGGTGATGAATGCTGAAAGTCTTTAGTTAGTGCGATGACTTTTTAAATACCTTGAAGGAAAAAAGTAGAACGTTTTTGTAAAGTTATAACGGTTAAACGACTACAATATAAGAAATTAATTGAGGATGTTTTTACTTAGACTAGCTTCAATTCCAGATCAGTCCAGACCAGACCAGACCAGACTTGGATAGTTATAAAAATACAAAGGGACTAGACATTATCAAATCAGACCAAACCGGTTCGGACCAGACCAGATTTGACCAGACCAGCAAATTACAATTCAAGTAAAAACATCCTAAATAAAGCTGGCAATCAAAATTGGTAATATCAACTTTTTATAATAAATAAAATCACATGAATGCAATGTTATTTTTTGGTGTTTAATTTCCACAATTCCACGTAGGTGCCTATGTACATTTTGGCTCAGCTGGTTGGTTCAATCCTTGCGAGTGGGACTTTGTATGTTTTACTTGGTGTGAAGAGTGAGGCTTTCTTCGGAACCCTTCCCGCTGGTTCAGACATTCAATCTTTCATTATTGAATTCATAATGTCTTTCCTTCTCATGTTCGTCATCTCTGGCGTTGCTACTGATAATAGAGCTGTGAGTAATTCATGTTTATTGCAAAATGATTTTTTGCTTAACTTGCATGCTACAATCAAACATTTTTTTGTTACTTCTTTCTGATTGCCAATGATTTCATTTTTATTTTCCCGATCCCACACATTTCCCGACCGATATGACAAAAACTCTAACACTACACCTCATATGTTGTTTGTAACTATAGGAAAAAGTTACTGTACACAATTGTTATACATACTCTCGGTTCGGTTGTGCATACACAGACAGCTCATTCCGAATTTTCTGTGTACACATGCCACTAGGCGGTGTGTACAACAAATGTGTACAAATAGAATGACTCGTACTATATAGGTGATATGATTGATCAGGTATCTTAATTGGCTTTCATAGACTCATACCTTATCAAAACTTCGTACTCCGTATAAAGTTTTATCTTAAAAAGATAAACATGATTCGAGGAATCATTTAATATTTTATATTTTGATTTGTACTTTACACTATTTGTGATTAGGTTTTAACGCAATTTAAGTTGTAACATTTTGAGGTGTCAAGTAAAAAAACTATCTCTACTTTCACTCAAATTTAAAAACCACTAGCTGTTCAACGACTTACCACACGCAGCAAAAAATGTACATCACTTTATAGAACCATTCAGTGTGACCATATATGCACTGGAGAATTTTTAAATAAATCCTGTGTATTTTCTCATTTCCTCATATTCCCATGCTAATTTGACTTATTTTTGGTCCTTCGTACTAAAAACATAGATCGGAGAGCTGGCAGGAATCGCTATTGGAATGACAATTCTCATTAGTGTTCTTGTTGCAGGGTAATTTTTCACTTATTCTCGGTCTTGATTTCATCATGCATTCTAGTTCATTTAACCCGAAAATTATCATAAATGTTGAATCGACTAATTAAGTAAGGGTGAGAACTCCAATATCCATTTAAGAATGGGCTACCGTACCTACCATTCACTCGATTAGTCCAAAGAGGTAAATCATTTTTAATTTAGACTTAAATAATTCAATTACCACATTCTAATTGGCCCATGTAAACAAAGGTATGGTACCTTATGGGTATCATAGAATCTACCTTAAGTAAATAGATGAACATGTTACTTGGTCCCGCACAAGTATTTCTACGTACGGTTCTGCCCACCTCTATTTATCTTGTTAAAAGATTTATCTCACACCGAAAAGCTATAAAACAATAAAACACTATATATGATTTTAGACTACTTCTCTAATCAGATGGATCTTTTAGGATAGAACTTCAGGTTTTAAGAGTTTGTCATACATTATTATTTGTTTTGTATGCCTCTTATTATTATTTTTCAAACGCAAATAAATGCAGGCCTATTTCTGGAGCATCAATGAACCCAGCAAGAAGTCTTGGGCCTGCAATAGTGATGCATAAGTACAAAAGTATATGGGTTTATATCGTTGGGCCAATAATGGGAACCACAGCTGGTGGGTTCACTTATAACCTCATCAGGTTCACGGAAAAGCCCCTTAGAGAACTCACTAGAAGTGGATCATTCCTCAAAAGCTTATCGAGAAAGGCCAGTACTTCAGCCCACTAGACTTTCTGCCGTCATTTGAAAGTTCAAACTACAACGTAGAGGTGAGCATAAAAATAGAACCAAACCTCCCCGTAATGATACTGAACCGGATATCAGATATTTAAATGGTTCTATATATAGATTTGTATCTTGAACCAAAGTCGTATCGTTTGAAATGAGTGTGGGTTCGGTCCTAGATTGTGAGAATAAAAAATTACCGGACAAGACCGTTCAGAAATAATGTGTTTGAGTTTTTATATTTTTTCTTTACCAATAATTCTCTTATTCAGATAAATAGTATTTTAGCCCAAGTATGTACTCATTCGTCCCTAAAATGTATGTTATAATTTGGTATATATTGAAAGATGTTTTTTTTAATTGTTTTCAGACCTAGACCAGATCAGACCAAATCAGACTTAAACAGACTAGACCAGACTTAAATAAACCAAACCAAATTAGATCAGACTTGGATAATTATAAAATAAAAAAAGACTAGACAATTATCGGACCAAACCGGATCAGGCTTGAACAGATCATACCTGACTGGCAAATTTCAGTCCAAAAGAAAACATCCTAAAAATCACTAAAGACTATTAATTTTGAGTTATGTGTTGTACTTAAGTGTGTCTTGTATCATGTTTATTATGAAGTTTTATAACTTAATTAATATGATTTAAATCTTAGATCCCACGTTACACATATAAACTAGAACTAATATTCAATCTAGAAAAAATAAGAAGAATGTTGGACTTTTCAATGATATTCAACAATCTAATAAATTTCTTTTATGTTATGGAATTAATTTAATAAAGTTGATATTTATCTTATGTATCATCATTTTATTGTAATTTTTCTGAGTTGGATACGTTGCAATATTTGGATATTTGTAAACTTAAACACAAAAATTCCGGCCTCTTGAATCTTTTATAGCATTTGGTATGCTCTTTCTTAAATTTTTATCAACTCCTTGTATCAATTGAGTGGTATAATGGTATCTACTAATTGCAAAATTTGTCCAAACTTTTTAGCATTAGTTTGTCATTGTATCGTACTGTTTTTTACTGTTCCGAAATGGCATGGTACCGAACGGTTCCATCCTTATAACCGAGCCGTATCAAACCTTTAGAACTCTCATATGTACATTATGGATTTTTCTAATTTACCTGACCTATCGGACCGCACCTTTGTAAATTTCACTTCACACACTACTTTGACACCACAACTTGGGATTGTGCGTATTTCCTTATGTATTTATTTATTTATTTATCTTTTTCACTATTTATTTTGATGTGGATAGTTTTATGACGGGAGTCTTGTCCCGTCAACGAGAACAATGCATCAGTGTAACATATCATACTGTAGAACAATATTTCCCCGTTGAAAGATTTTTCAAACGCATTTACTCCGTATTATATACGAGTCGTGAATACCCTTTACTTATAACTCAAAATGATGTAGTGTGCATACTCTTCAGAGTGAAATCGGAAATGAAAGACGGTTTAATATGATCGGAGTGAAATAAGAAATGTTTCAAAATGTGTCACATTATTGAGACAGAAGATCATACAGTATATGAGTGTCAGTTAATATGTAAATGCTTTACAGATTAACCTAAAATTCATTTTTAGCGGAAATAGAAATCTTTCGAAATGTGTCACATTATTGGTGCAATATGACCATTTTCTATCTCGGCGGTTTCCCCGCTTTCACTCCGAACTCGTGTAGAATTTGATCTGATCATATCTTGCTGTATTTCGTTTCGTTGGAAGCGTTTTCTTTCTTGTTGGAAATGTTTTGTCGAGTTTTAAAACACGTCTTCAGGCGAGTGTTTCAAAATATTACGCATTATTACCTAATTAACCAAATTACAAACCCAAGAGTGTATTTACACTAAAAATGTTGTAGTTACGCTGAAGACGCTAAATCATAGAGATCAGGCCGCTTGAAACGGAGAACACACAACAAGATATGAGTGTCAGGAAAACATAGTCTGTTCTGTGTGATTTAGCGTTTTCAACGTAAATAGAGCATTTTCATCTTTAGAACTCAAAATGGTAATTTCTGTTCATTAGGTGAAACAGGAGGCTTGTCCTTGAAATTTTCATTGTATTATTTTTAATGTGTAAAATTAATTAATTTAGAACCCGTTTGACGATCAAGTTTTTCAGCTCATCAATAAACTTTTTCACCAAACACGTAATTTTTGATTTCGCATTATAAGCTATCTAATAATCAAAGTAAACAACATTAGAGTTACACTTTTGGCTAAATTGACTGAAATAATTATAGAAAACAATTTACCTATTTTTTTAAAATTTAATTATAAAATATATTATAAATATAATAACTTTACAAGGCTCCATAACCATCCACGACTTCAATCAAAATTTCCCATTAAACGATTTTATCCTATCAAATACTCCCTCCGTTTCACAATCAAAGTCACGGTTTGACTTCTCTAGGATTAAAGAAATAAATTGACTCCACTATAGAGAACATTGTTTAGGACCCTGAAAATCCCTCGAGCAGCAGACCATCCTCCCTCCAGACCCTCCTCCTTACCCCATTACCATCCTTAGGAGTAATACTATTCTAAAAATGGAAGCCTTCCTAAAAGTGGTAGCCCTGTGCACTTGCACTCACTGCACTTGAGCCAGACCACGATTAAATTCATAAATTTTTATGATTTTTCATTTGAGACCAATATTGCATATAAAAATGTTACAGAGTAAAAAATTGAAGTCTCAACATAATGAGGTTTTAGACCTAATTTTTTTATTAAGAGGATCTAAGCTTCGCTCTAAAAGGCGTCAGGCGTGATGAGGTGGCATGCCCGAGCCTTAGGCATTTGAAGCCTATCACTACCTATGCGAGTTTAAGCGGGGCTTAGACGTAAAAAGGCGTTTTTTTTTTACAAATTTGATATAAACTCCATAGATATGTTGGTGAATATTTAAATGTAATATAATAAAATATCATGCTAAATATAATCCTATTTCATTTTCCAACAAAAGAAACCTTCTAAATTACTAAAAACAATACCTTTTTTATGCATCTAGTATATAAAAAGTAAAAACGGGTAAAATAAAGTTCGATGAGAATATTAACTATCATAAAATTATTTTTAATAATCATTATATAATAGTGATGTTATAATAATAGTAATAAGGATCATATTGTAATGATCTTATAATAATTGTAATAGTGATACTCCGTAATAAAATACCAATCTTATAATACTAATAACAACAAATACCCCGCAGATAATATAATGATCATATAATCATAGTACTTACGATTAGGGTATCCCCATTCATAGAATTATTTGAGGGTTAAGTTGTTGATGTGGCGGATTATTTTGGGATTATGATTGAGTGATGCAGATTATTTGTTGAGATTAATTGATAAAATAATCCGGGATTGAAATATGAATCCAGATTATCTAAAGATTATTGTGAAGGTAGTATTAATTACTGAGTGCAGGACCCACAAAAGTTCTGTCTATTTTGAGTTAATGAATGATACTCCATATAATTTTGAAGGTATGAGATTATTTTGAAAAGTCTACATATCAATCTATGGGTCATTAAAAATTGTTTATTAAAAATTGTTTATTCAAGTAGTATCAATGTGGATGCTCTTATGCATTTATCCAGTAGACCAATACTAGTAAATAAACTAAATACTGTATTATAGTGCTTATAAAATGACATATGTTCTTATACTCCGTATTTATTTTAGAGCAGCCAGTCTTTTTTTTTTTTGATGAAATTAGAGCAGCCAGTCTTAAAAGTGTTGGTTGTAGCTTAGAAGCTGTTCCGTTCGTCTTAATCTTATTACTTATTCCTTAATCTTATTTTATTCAGATCAGATCAGATCAGATCAGAAAGATTCAGATCAGATCAGATCAGAAAGATTCAGATCAGATCAGATCAGATCAGATCAGCAACATTCAGATCAGATCAGAAAGATTCAGACCAGATCAGACCAGATCAGAAACATTCAGATCAGATCAGAAACATTCAGATCAGATCAGATCAGATCAAAAAATTCAAACATGATTTATCACTTTTATTAATATATTAATTATAATTATTGTTAATAATATTAATATAATAATATAATAATATTATTAATAATATAATAATAATAATGTTAATAATATAAAATTATTATTATAATATAATATAATATAATATAATATAATATAATATAATATAATATAATATAATATAATATAATATAATATAATATAATATAATATAATATAATATAATATAATATAATATAATATAATATAATATAATATAATATAATATAATATAATATAATATAATATAATATAATATAATATAATATAATATAATATAATATAATATAATATATTTATAATTATAATTATAATTATGATTTACAATGTAATTATAATTATAATCATCATTATTATTAATATGATTGTTGTTCTTGTTGTTATTGTTGTAATTATTATTACTTCGGAGTAATTATATATTTAAATTAGTAATTATAGATATAATTATGATTATAGAAATAAATATTATAATTATAATTACAATAATAATTATAAAATTAATCATAATAAAAAATATAATTACATTTATAATTGTATCTGTACTTATAATTAGTGTAATTAGTATAATTATTATAATTTTAAATTTAATTTTAATTATTTTTTTTTATAATTATGATTATAATTGTAATTTTATTTAAGTTATATTTTTAATTACAATTATAAATCTAATAATTATAATTATAATTACAATTATAGAAATATTCAAATCAGATCAGAAAGATTCAGATCAGAAGAATTCAGATCAGATCAGAAACTTTCAGATCAGATCAGAAACATTCAGATCAGATCAGATCAGATCAGCAACATTCAGATCAGTTCAGCAACATTCAGATCAGATCAGAAAGATTCAGATCAGATCAGAAAGATTCAGATCAGATCAGATCAGATCAGAAAGATTCAGATCAGATCAGATCAGATCAGAAAAATTCAGATCAGATCAGATCAGAACTTAAAAAATTCAGATCAGAAACATTCAGATCAGGTGAACGGAACAGCTTCTTAGTATAAAACACTTTTGGCCTTGGTGCTATTTGTCCGGCCAATCTGAGTTTACTTCTAGAAGCCTCCCTCCTATTAGTAGCGGTTCCATAGTGGATATCCGCTTTTTTGATTGAAAAGTGTCAGCGGTCAGCTTCTCTTCCGTTCACTTAGAAGCCTTTAGTTGTTATTGGGCTTACAATTATGGTTAAAAAATTTATATTTTGCAGGCCCACGTGCCTTTGGCACATGTTGACTAGGCGAGGTGTTATGGTCGCGCTTGGGGCCAAGCCTCGCCCATGCGGCGCTTTTGTGGGCCTTGTAGAACATTGGATTAAAATTAAAACGAAATTTCACATTTTTCAATTTTACTTTTCAAAATAAGTCACAAGTAAAAACAAAAAAAAGTTAAAGTTCAAATTTATCCGCAAAAAGTTGGCATAGCAATGTTTGAGTTTTAAAATCTTATTTATTTGTGTTAGAACATTGGCAAAAAAACAATTCATAGCAATAAAACTAAATTGACGCAATGATTGCGTATAAATTAGCGGGGATTTAGATTCATTGGAGAGGATTGCGAATTTGATAAAGAATAGAGCTAACGTCTTAGGTGATAAAAGTTTGGAATAGAGCTAGAAAATTTTGATAAAGAAAAGATAGTGTGATATTTCCGTATTTGTAGATCTCTTTTTCAAGAGTGCAACACCAAGAACTTAGATGCACAAAATTCCAACTTTCATTTTATTATTACATTTTTTTTAGGTGTGGGCATATCGGTTTGGTTGAACCGAACAAAATCGTACCAAACCGAACCAAAACTGGACCGTATGCAATTTGGTTTGAGTTTGGTACAAATTCTTCCAACTCGTATCAAATCGAATCGAACCGAAACGGATAATAATTGAATAAAACCGAACCGAACTAAAGAAAGTCAAATAACCCTCATATATTATTAAAAATAACAAATCCAAACCGAACCAAATCCAAAAATAGTATGGTTTTTGTTGGGTAACAATTCTTCCAACCCGTTCTAAACCGAATCAAACCGAAACCAATAAAAACCGAACCGAAAATCGATATGCCCACCCCTACACTTTTTTTGTGTAATGAATACTTTTCACTCTCGCCTCGTTTAATTGATTTGCAATGCATATAGATTTTGTTACAATTTTCTCATAAGCTCACCTAGACTCACGTCTATTAGTGACATGTAGGCCCAACCCAATCATTTAATTAGATTCTATATATTTAGCTCAGCCCAACCCAATCCGAACCTATTAGTTTTGGCCCGGGCAGCCCAGCCCAGCCTGTTAATGTTCTCTACTTCTATATAATATGACTGGGACTGGTCGGGTGTCGAAAACCATATCAGAACCCGTAATAACCGGGTTGGGCCCGACTTCTATATAATATGACTAGAAATGAGTCCATTTCTACGCCAAAGCGATACAACATATTTCCTAAAAGTAATGCTTTTGGGCGGAAAACTCCTTTAAAGTTGATTATGTTACCTTTATCTCAAATTGATTTGCAGAACTCAACTTTTTTTTGTAAAATAATTTTATTTTATTCACTTAATTAGAGTGTCAATTTTCAATTATATTATAATTTGGTAATCGCTGTGGTCGTCTCCCTTGAATAAGGGCTTCCAGTTTTTGTCGTCTTGTGTGCGGCGTTTAATTTTAGTCGTCTTTAGTGCGGCGATTAGTTTAGTAGATCAGAGAAGGAAAATGTTCGCAAGAATATCGCTAGGCGTGGTGTGGCGGCCGATGGAGAAGGTGTTGCGGGAACCAAGGGAGGAAGAAAGGGAGGCGTCCAGAGGGGGTGAAATTGCGGGGCAGATGGAGGTTGCGCATCAAGGAATCAATCGAGCGACGGGCGGGAGTCGTGGCCGTGTTCGTGTCAACAATTATAGCGATGGTCCGGCCTTCTCCTGAACCACTGCCAGGGGTTGAAAGAGGTGCTAGGGTTCAAGATACTTATTTTGCTTATTTAGTTTTTTTTCATGTTTCATCCTCCTATTAGTTTTTATTATTTTGTCATTTGGTTTCTTATTACCGTCTATGTTGTTAGGTTTGTCAGTTTGGTTTGGAATTTAGCCTCTTTTTATGTCATTGGGTATGTTTGGATCTATGGAAACAAGGATGGTTGTGTCAAGCCCGCTACATGGTTAACGATTCGTGTTGCTCTTTCAGGGGTGACCGTCTCTAACTCTGATCATAGGGTTTACAATCGTAGTCGTTGGAATTTAGTTGGTGTCAGATTTGTTTTTCCTCTGATTGATGTAATGATCCTGAAACTTATGATATGAATAGAAGCAAGTGTTCGTACAATATATATATATATATATATATATATATATATATATATATATATATATATATATATATATATATATATTATAATTTGGTGTTTGCAACTTCAAAGAAATTGTATTGTTTTTTTTATCGAAGTGGCTTAAATTAATAAAATAGCATTCAGCAGGGTTAACCACCTTTACTGGATAACAAAAGAACCACACGTAACCATCCGCCCTTGGCCGAGACTCAGAGTTAACCACCTTTACAAAAACAGTATAACTCGCTAGACCTGAACAGGGCAACTTTGTCACGCCCCGGACCGCGTCCGTGCCACGTAGACAACCGCCGTACAACCCAATAAGAACAACATAGTTCATCCTTATCAAATCATACAAGGCGTCCGTTAAGTTCTATTGCCAAGCCGATTAGTAAACCCATACAATCAACATCAATATATATTAGTCAAACAAATGCGGAAAATAAGATATGTTTGATACTTAGCCACACGTGGCAAATACGGGCACGCAGGCCCCCAAATGTTTTAATAGAAAACATTGTTAAAAATATCCATGAGCAGTTGCATTATTTCAAATGAGAATGGAAGCACGAACCACGTCTTCCTCCTTGATCAATCACCCTAGGCAAAGGTGCAGGTAGTAGGACTCTAGCCTCAACCTGAAAAATGTGAGGGCCCCCGAAGGGGTCAGTACTCCATAGAAGTACTAGTGACAAGCAGGCTATATGAGGAATAACTAATGTTTCAGACACGAGACCCAAAAATAGGGTGATACATATGCTTATAGGTGTAACCATTGTTACCCCATTCCCAAGATAATACATACTGTATATACTTGTAAAATACTTGACCCGTAGGTCGTTTTATCACAAAGAGTCTTTTAGAGGTATGGCGATTACCCAACCTTTCCCATTCATTCCTGAATGCCTAGCTCACGGGCTACATCCTACCTTCATAATATCCTACCGAGTTTCAGGAGTGTTTACCCTCCCGGGGATGCTCAACCCCACCGAGTTTCTGGGATTGTTTACCGTCCCGAGGATACTCAACCTCACCGAGTTTCTGGGATTGTTTACCGTCCCGAGGATACTCAACCTCACCGAGTTTCTGGGATTGTTTACCGTCCCGAGGATACTCAACCTCACCGAGTTTCTGGGATTGTTTACCGTCCCGAGGATACTCAACCTCACCGAGTTTCTGGGATTGTTTACCGTCCCGAGGATACTCAACCTCACCGAGTTTCTGGGATTGTTTACCGTCCCGAGGATACTCAACCTCACCGAGTTTCTGGGATTGTTTACCGTCCCGAGGATACTCAACCTCAACCGTATTTCTAACCAAACCCTAACCTGGATATGGCTAACCTTGCATTCACTTAACTATGGACAATACCTAGTCCTATAGTCATATAATAATCCTTAGTAACCAATGTGGACGGGTCCCACCTGATCGGTCCACGTTATCCTACTCAAAAGCTACCCGTTTTGAGTATAAACCAACACCCGGTCGGGTATCCACCTTACCCGGTCGGGTAGGGCCGGGCAGAAGCCCCTGGAACTGACTTTACTTGAGACCCGGTCGGGTCCCTGACCTTACCCGGTCGGGTCTAGTGTGGCAGTGGCTTCTGGAGCCGAATTTAATCAATACCCGGTCGGGTATCCATCTTACCCGGTCGGGTATCACCCTTGTCTCGGCGGTCAACGCCCGTTTGACCGCCCAAACGAAGTCCGATTAACGTGAAATTTTATATGCACATTCTACTTGAAGTCCTTGATCCAAAAATAAAATTTTTGACCCCTGGATCATTGTACATAATAAGTTATCACATTTTTAATCACCAAACATACAAACATGCCTTTCAACTTTGTCTTATATATATTCATGGCATAAGCCCATACTTGGTTAACTTTAATCATTCCGTAAAACATATCCTTGATTACTTTAGGTAATCTCATGCCTCAATCAAAAGTTATAAAGCATATAGCCGTCTTCTCACCTTTAAGAAGCTTATGAAGCTCTAGCCTTCCTTATTGAGCTCCGGTGGAACTCCGGTGAACTTCAGCCAACTCCGGCGACAACTCCGGCAACCCTTTCAACTCCGTGAAAGTTCTTGAAGCACCTTATACAAGTTAACAACAAGGTTTTATCATCATAAAACCCATATCAACTCAAATAACCTCTAAAAGGTTATTTTCCGACGAACCGGTCAACTTTGTTCTCAAAGTTCGTTTTGGATATGAATCCACCTTCCAACCCTTCATTCTTCACATATAACATGTAGAATGATCCTAGGGGTATGAAATATGATTACATAATCATATTTGGAAGATTAAAGAAGAGGGATGAGATTAATGGAGTTATTACCTTGTTAATCCTCAAGTTTTCTTCCTTCTTTCTCTTCTCTTTCCCCTCCTTCTTCCTCCTTAGCTTTGGTGCAAATGGAGATGGTGGAAATGATTATTTTCAGAGTAGCTCTCTCAAAGATGAGTGATAGGGTCGGATGTTTTGGCTAAGGGGAGAGTATATGGCTATCTTTGGCTTCTACCTTCAAAATAATGTGACCATGGTCCCAATGTCCCTTTTGATGCCATTCATCTCAAGTCAACCTCTTCCATCCTACTTCCATCATCCCAGCCGCCCTCCTTATTTATTTGTCTCAAATGATTTCGTGGGGTGGCCCCCACATATGTGGGAGGTCATCCCTTTGTGTCCCCAAGTGTACACTTGGTCCCGAAAGTTGTATTTTCCGGACTGTTTTAACTATATTTCATTTTATTGGGTCAAATGAAATATCTATCATTCTTCCAATCATTATTGGTTTTTAGAATGAATATATACTCCCCCACTTTTAATTTAGCGGTCTCCATAATTTATTATGGCTTTTTATCTGTTAGTACTTCGGTACCGATAAATGGGCTTTGTATGCCCAAATGGTTACGCATATAACTTCCATGGCCCAACAAGGATATCCACCATCATACACATATTATCTTGACCCAAACGAATATAATATGTGGTCCCGAACATGTCGGGTGGCCCCCACTTCCGGTGTGGGCCCCACGTGAATTCTATTATTCACGTAAAAGAAATGATAAAAATTTACAATTACGTAAAATGCATTTATTCATTTCTCAGGGTTCAATACATAGTTTGATAAAGTACAAATACTTGGGGGCGGTGTTACAAGTTCTACCCCCCTTATTTGGGATTTCGTCCCCGAAATCCACGTGTCTAGTCAAACAAAAATGGATACTGTTCCCTCATCAGGGTCTCCACTTCCCAAGTTTGCTCCTCGACACGATCACTCTTCCAAAGCACCTTCACCATCGGTACCTCTTTACCCCTTAGCTTCTTTACCTGTCGGTCCATGATCTTTACCGGCTGCACCGCATAGTGGAGGTCTTCCCGGATTTCCACCGGTGGTTTCTCAAGAATATGTGACGGGTCCCGTACATATTTCTTGAGCATGGAAACATGAAATACATTATGGATCTTTTCTAACTCTGGAGTTAATTGAAGTCGATACGCCACAACCCCAATCCTTTCAATGATTTTGAATGGGCCGATGTAACGTGGGTTGAGCTTACCCCGGCTGAGGAACCTGATGATCCCTTTCCAAGGTGACACCCTCAGAAACACCTCATCGCCGACCTCAAACTCCAACGTCCTACGACGTTTATCTGCATAGCTCTTCTGTCGATCTTGGGCAGCCTTTAGTCTATCCCGGATAACTTTCACCTTCTCCTTAGTGATCTCAACTAGCTCAGTACCCTCGAGCTTGGCCTCGCCAACCTCATCCCAACATAAAGGTGTCCGACATTTCCTCCCATACAATGCCTCGTATGGAGGCATGCCTATACTTGCCTGATAACTGTTGTTATAGGCGAATTCTACTAAAGCCAGCTGGTTATCCCAACTTCCTTGAAACTCCAAGGCACATGCCCTCAACATGTCCTCCAAAATCTGAATCACCCGTTCAGATTGCCCATCCGTCTGAGGATGGAATGCCGTGCTGAACCTCAACTTCGTCCCCATGGATTCCTGGAACTTAGGCCAAAACCGTGATGTGAACCGTGGGTCTCTATCCGACACTATAGTGACCGGAACCCCATGCAGTCTCACGATCTCATCAGTATACAACTTGGCCAGTCGCTCAAGCGTATAAGTAGTGTTGATAGGTAGAAAATGGGCACTCTTGGTCAACCTATCAACCACCACCCATACCGCATCAAAGTTCCTAACCGTCCGTGGCAAACCTACCACGAAGTCCATAGTAACATGCTCCCACTTCCATTCTGGGATGGTAAGTGGCTGTAATAACCCTGCCGGGTGTTGGTGCTCTGCCTTAACCTGCTGACAGGTAAGGCAACGACTCACATAATCAGCAATCTCTCTCTTCATCCCCGACCACCAGTAACTTTCTTTCAAGTCCCGGTACATCTTTGTTCCACCTGGGTGCATGGCATACGCAGATGAGTGAGCCTCCTCAAGAATAGATTTACGGAGCTCCTCATCTGATGGCACACACACCCGTTCCTTGAATAGTAAGAGTCCATCCTCTCGTTCACGGAAACCCTCGATGGGCCCCACAAGCATCCGTTCCCGGATTTTCTGAATTTCCTCGTCATTGCCTTGACGCGTCCTGATTTCATCTAATAAGGTGGGTCTCACCTCAAATCTGGCCAATAGAGCCCCGTTTGTGGATACCTCCACGCGTGCCCTCAATGCTTGCAAGCATGAGAGTAAAACCCCCGATGAACTCTTTCTACTAAGAGCATCGGCTACCACGTTAGCCTTCCCTGGATGATAATCTATAATCAAGTTGTAATCCTTGATTAACTCCATCCATCTTCTCTGCCTCATGTTCAACTCTTTCTGAGTGAACACGTACTTCAAACTTTTGTGATCTGTATAAATGTGACACACCTCTCCGTAGAGGTAATGCCTCCAAATCTTCAAAGCAAACACCACAGCTCCTAGTTCTAGGTCATGTGTGGGGTAATTCACTTCATGCTTCCTCAGTTGCCGAGAAGCATAAGCAATTACCTTCCCCGATTGCATCAGTACGCACCCAAGCCCCTGGATGCTAGCATCGCTATAGATGTCATACCCCAACCCTTGCACGGGTAGAGCAAGTACTGGTGCTTCAGTCAACCGTTTCTTTAGCTCAAGAAACCCCTTCTCACACTTGTCATCCCACACAAACTTAGCTCCCTTTTTGGTGAGCTTCGTGAGTGGAGATGCTATTACGGAGAACTTCTCCACGAATTTGCGGTAATACCCCGCCAAACCAAGGAAACTCCTTATTTCCTTCACATTCTTGGGCCTCTCCCAATTAGTGACTGCTTCAATCTTCGAGTTATCAACTGAAATGCCCGAACCTGATACCACGTGCCCGAGAAAACCGATCTCCCCAAGCCAAAATTCACACTTAGAGAATTTGGCAAAGAGTTGCTTCTCCCGCAGTGTTCCAAGTACGAGCCTTAGATGTTTCTCGTGTTCTTCTTCGTTCTTGGAGTATATCAAAATGTCATCAATGAACACTATGACGAATTGGTCCAAGTATTGATGAAATACCCGGTTCATGAGGTCCATGAATGCCGCGGGGGCATTTGTAAGCCCGAACGACATCACTAGGAACTCATAGTGACCATACCTTGTACGGAATGCACTTTTGGGTATGTCACTCTCCTTGATCTTTAGTTGATGGTAGCCCGACCTCAAGTCGATCTTGGAGAACACGGTTGCCCCCCGCAATTGATCAAACAAGTCGTCAATCCTTGGCAAAGGATATTTGTTCTTTATCGTGACCTTGTTCAATTGACGGTAGTCGATACACATTCTCATTGTGCCATCCTTCTTCTTTACAAAGAGTACAGGTGCTCCCCATGGTGAATGACTTGGTCTAATGAACCCGTTATCTAGTAACTCTTCCAACTGAACTTTCAACTCTTGAAGTTCAGCCGGCGCCATTCGATACGGAGGAATTGAGATGGGTTTGATGCCTGGTTCAACCTCGATCTCGAACTCGATCTCCCGATCGGGTGGGAGTCCCGGTAGCTCTTCAGGGAACACCTCCGGATACTCACTCACCACCCTCACTTCTGTGATACTCTTCCCCTTACCTTCCTTGCCTATGACATAGGCTAAGTAAGCCTGACATCCCTTCCTCATCATACGCCTTGCTCTTATGGCCGATATGATGCAAGGATTGAATTTTCCTCTATCCCCCTCGAAACATACCACATTTCCTGCACCATCCTTGAGTTCTAACACTTTGGTGTAGCAATCCACCTTTGCATGGTGTTTTTCAAGCCAGTCCATGCCAAGTATGGCATCAAACTCAAGCATGGCTAATGGTACGAAGTCGCCCTTTAGACAGTGCTCCCCTATCTCCACATCACATGAAGGATAGTAGTCATTTCGTTCAACATCATCCCCTAAAGGCGTAGACACCAAAAGGGTTTGCGTCATTGGTGTTAAAGGTGTGCCTAAGCCCATGGCAAACACCTCACTAACGAATGAACGTTGTGCTCCCGTATCGATAAGGATTCTCGCATCCCTTCCATTAATCTTTAATGTTCCTACATTTATAAGTCATGTAAGGTACTTTGCCCACCAAAATTGAACTGTAGGCCTCCGAAAAAAAAAAATCCGTACTCAAAAATATATAGCCATACCCGGTCGGGTACATCTTTGTACCCGGTCGGGTATCCAATCCAGAAGCAATTCTCTTTCTATACCCGGTCTGGTAACGCTGGCGGGTATGGAAATTTGGCATACCCGGTCGGGTAACCTGCTGTACCCGGTCGGGTATCCGTTCCAGAAGCCCGCGGGTATAAAATTTCATCATACCCGGTCGGGTAACCTACTATACCCGGTCGGGTGTCCGTTCCAGTGGGTTTATCAGGCCAAAAATCTCAGTATACCCGGTCGGGTGACTTGCCTTACCCGGTCGGGTATCAGCCTGGTTTCATTGAATTTCCCCCGATTCGACCCTAAGTCAGTTTGCAATTGACCCCTAGGACTTATAACTTTAATATAAGCCTAGAAACATATAAGATCTAGTACATTACCTGCAACAGAGTCCGGGTTTGCTCGCGCATCCGCCTTGGTCATTGCATACACACGTGCCTGGGTCCTCCCTTGGTTAACGGACGCGGCATTGCTCGCCGTAGGTCCGCCTCTTCCCGTGCCGGCCTGTGATGGTCCCGCACGTCCCCTACTAGCCGTAGGTCCTTCCATAGCCCCCGATGGTCCCCCTCCATTCAACATTGAGCAAGAAAGCTTGAGGTGACTAGTGCTACCACACTTGTAGCACCGGGGTGGTGCATTGCATTTCCCGGCATGATTCTTGTTACAGTTTAGACACCTCGGTGGCCTCACGCTCCCCGAGCTGTGCCCTTGCCCTCCTGGACCCTTGCTCTTCTTTGCCGGTGGTTCCGGCGCCCTAAATGAACTTCCATTCCCGGCGTGATGTTTCCGAGAATGGTCTTGGGGTCCAGAATTTCCCCATCTCCTCTTCTTCGCCTCTTCGGCGTCTCTCTTCTTCCTTTCATTCCACTTGGCTTCCCCAAGTAGCCCTTGATCCACAATCTCACTAAAGGTCATGTGATGATTGTAGGTGGCCCTATCACGGATATCCAACTGTAGGGTATCCCAGAAGTGATTAGCCATGCGGTTCTCATCCATGGCGTACTCAGGTATGTATCGTGCCAAGTCCCGGAACCTCTGTTCCAATTGCCTTACCGAGCACCCATCCTCCTGTGTCAAAGTCATGTATTCCTTCCTTTTCTGATTCTTCTCAAATTCGGAGTAGTACTGGTTATAGAACTCTACTTCGAATCTCTCCCAGGTGGTCTCACCGTGGAACTTTCCTTCCACGCCTTCCCACCATACAGCAGCTACCCCCTCCAGTAGCCTGGTAGCAATCGTTAGCTTTATATCAAGCCCGATCTGCATATCCCTAGCAGCCTCGTTCAGTTTCTTGATCCAATCAGCAGCCACAGATATGTCGCCTTTGCCATCAAATGACTTACACCCCAAGGCCCTAGCCTCCTTGAGGTATTTGGAGATTCTTACACAAAAACCTCCGCCCTGTACTCCCTGTGACGCCACAGGTGTAGCCACGGATGCCCCCCGGCTCCCGTGACCTGAAGCCCCCTGAGAGGCACGCCTAGCTTGGTGCCTAAGATCTCGCCTCAGCTTTTCCTTTTGATACCACTCAAACAATTCACCCATCTGGGCGAATTTGGCATCACTCTCATCATTGTCATCATCGGTGTACGTATCACCCCCATCATATGGGGTCTCCTCATGTTCCGTCTCGGGAACATATGTAGAGTCGTAATCCTCGGTGTGAGTCCCATGCACCGAGCTAACATGGCCATCGCTCACGGTTTGAGCCCGATGACCTCCCCGGCCTCCACGGCCTCCACGGCCTCCACGGCCTCTCCTACCGCCTCTCGCGCCCCGAGATGCAACCTGGCTAGCCCCTTCGGACGTCACCGGAGTTTGCCCTCTCGGGTTGTCCCTCGTACCCATGCGTCTACCCTCCATTTCTGAAAAAAATTTGGAATGAGCCGTTAGACTCGTATCAATGTCGATTGACGGAATAGTACAAAAGACACCACTTGGTCCAACATTATGGCCAACAAACTGTTAAGGGTACCGTCTTAACAATAAGAGGTCAATAACTTGGTTTCCAACGGTTCCTTAAGTACAAAACTTTTGCTCATGGTTTTGTTCAAAACTTTTTGATGATACTATATTGAGAGGTTAATTATATAGTTTAGAAACCGATGGCTCTGATACCACTTAATTGTCACGCCCCGGACCGCGTCCGTGCCACGTAGACAACCGCCGTACAACCCAATAAGAACAACATAGTTCATCCTTATCAAATCATACAAGGCGTCCGTTAAGTTCTATTGCCAAGCCGATTAGTAAACCCATACAATCAACATCAATATATATTAGTCAAACAAATGCGGAAAATAAGATATGTTTGATACTTAGCCACACGTGGCAAATACGGGCACGCAGGCCCCCAAATGTTTTAATAGAAAACATTGTTAAAAATATCCATGAGCAGTTGCATTATTTCAAATGAGAATGGAAGCACGAACCACGTCTTCCTCCTTGATCAATCACCCTAGGCAAAGGTGCAGGTAGTAGGACTCTAGCCTCAACCTGAAAAATGTGAGGGCCCCCGAAGGGGTCAGTACTCCATAGAAGTACTAGTGACAATCAGGCTATATGAGGAATAACTAATGTTTCAGACACGAGACCCAAAAATAGGGTGATACATATGCTTATAGGTGTAACCATTGTTACCCCATTCCCAAGATAATACATACTGTATATACTTGTAAAATACTTGACCCGTAGGTCGTTTTATCACAAAGAGTCTTTTAGAGGTATGGCGATTACCCAACCTTTCCCATTCATTCCTGAATGCCTAGCTCACGGGCTACATCCTACCTTCATAATATCCTACCGAGTTTCAGGAGTGTTTACCCTCCCGGGGATGCTCAACCCCACCGAGTTTCTGGGATTGTTTACCGTCCCGAGGATACTCAACCTCACCGAGTTTCTGGGATTGTTTACCGTCCCGAGGATACTCAACCTCACCGAGTTTCTGGGATTGTTTACCGTCCCGAGGATACTCAACCTCACCGAGTTTCTGGGATTGTTTACCGTCCCGAGGATACTCAACCTCACCGAGTTTCTGGGATTGTTTACCGTCCCGAGGATACTCAACCTCACCGAGTTTCTGGGATTGTTTACCGTCCCGAGGATACTCAACCTCACCGAGTTTCTGGGATTGTTTACCGTCCCGAGGATACTCAACCTCAACCGTATTTCTAACCAAACCCTAACCTGGATATGGCTAACCTTGCATTCACTTAACTATGGACAATACCTAGTCCTATAGTCATATAATAATCCTTAGTAACCAATGTGGACGGGTCCCACCTGATCGGTCCACGTTATCCTACTCAAAAGCTACCCGTTTTGAGTATAAACCAACACCCGGTCGGGTATCCACCTTACCCGGTCGGGTAGGGCCGGGCAGAAGCCCCTAGAACTGACTTTACTTGAGACCCGGTCGGGTCCCTGACCTTACCCGGTCGGGTCTAGTGTGGCAGTGGCTTCTGGAGCCGAATTTAATCAATACCCGGTCGGGTATCCATCTTACCCGGTCGGGTATCACCCTTGTCTCGGCGGTCAACGCCCGTTTGACCGCCCAAACGAAGTCCGATTAACGTGAAATTTTATATGCACATTCTACTTGAAGTCCTTGATCCAAAAATAAAATTTTTGACCCCTGGATCATTGTACATAATAAGTTATCACATTTTTAATCACCAAACATACAAACATGCCTTTCAACTTTGTCTTATATATATTCATGGCATAAGCCCATACTTGGTTAACTTTAATCATTCCGTAAAACATATCCTTGATTACTTTAGGTAATCTCATGCCTCAATCAAAAGTTATAAAGCATATAGCCGTCTTCTCACCTTTAAGAAGCTTATGAAGCTCTAGCCTTCCTTATTGAGCTCCGGTGGAACTCCGGTGAACTTCAGCCAACTCCGGCGACAACTCCGGCAACCCTTTCAACTCCGTGAAAGTTCTTGAAGCACCTTATACAAGTTAACAACAAGGTTTTATCATCATAAAACCCATATCAACACAAATAACCTCTAAAAGGTTATTTTCCGACGAACCGGTCAACTTTGTTCTCAAAGTTCGTTTTGGATATGAATCCACCTTCCAACCCTTCATTCTTCACATATAACATGTAGAATGATCCTAGGGGTATGAAATATGATTACATAATCATATTTGGAAGATTAAAGAAGAGGGATGAGATTAATGGAGTTATTACCTTGTTAATCCTCAAGTTTTCTTCCTTCTTTCTCTTCTCTTTCCCCTCCTTCTTCCTCCTTAGCTTTGGTGCAAATGGAGATGGTGGAAATGATTATTTTCAGAGTAGCTCTCTCAAAGATGAGTGATAGGGTCGGATGTTTTGGCTAAGGGGAGAGTATATGGCTATCTTTGGCTTCTACCTTCAAAATAATGTGACCATGGCCCCAATGTCCCTTTTGATGCCATTCATCTCAAGTCAACCTCTTCCATCCTACTTCCATCATCCCAGCCGCCCTCCTTATTTATTTGTCTCAAATGATTTCGTGGGGTGGCCCCCACATATGTGGGAGGTCATCCCTTTGTGTCCCCAAGTGTACACTTGGTCCCGAAAGTTGTATTTTCCGGACTGTTTTAACTATATTTCATTTTATTGGGTCAAATGAAATATCTATCATTCTTCCAATCATTATTGGTTTTTAGAATGAATATATACTCCCCCACTTTTAATTTAGCGGTCTCCATAATTTATTATGGCTTTTTATCTGTTAGTACTTCGGTACCGATAAATGGGCTTTGTATGCCCAAATGGTTACGCATATAACTTCCATGGCCCAACAAGGATATCCACCATCATACACATATTATCTTGACCCAAACGAATATAATATGTGGTCCCGAACATGTCGGGTGGCCCCCACTTCCGGTGTGGGCCCCACGTGAATTCTATTATTCACGTAAAAGAAATGATAAAAATTTACAATTACGTAAAATGCATTTATTCATTTCTCAGGGTTCAATACATAGTTTGATAAAGTACAAATACTTGGGGGCGGTGTTACAAACTTAAAGCCAATGATGATTACCGTAGACCTCTCATCCCCCAAACCTAATGCAAGAGTCTTACAGAACATAAAAATATGAAAGTAAAGCAGAATAATCCAACCATGAAAAAGAAAATAAAGCAACCAATAAAAATAAAACCATCACTTGTCTTCTTGATCACCACCGTCACATGAAACCTTGGCGGGCCTAGAGAAATTGACCCGCCGTCTCCCCATTTTTTGGCCCATCCAGAACCATTCCTTCTCCAGATGGGCCTCCTTTATCTTGACTTTCCCAGATTCTTCTTCGCTTTGTGTCCCCCGGGGTTTCTTCCTTATTATCCGACTTGTCCTGCTTAGGGGTGGGCATAAAACCCGAACCAAACTGGTACCGAGCCGTTCCGTAATGGTACCGAACCGAATACCGGGTATTTAAACGGTTCTATAGATTTTTGTCCCGTACAAAAACTGAACCATTTGAAACGGGTACGGGACCGGTCCTAGATTTTGAGAACCGAAAAATACCGGAACGAACCGTTTGAAAATAATGCATTTGAATTTTTTATAATTTTTCTATACCAATAGATCTCTTTTATAGATAAACAATTTTATAACCCAAGTATGTATTCATGCGTTCCTAAACTACCTATATATAAAAAAAAAAAAAAAAAAAAAACAAAAAAAAAAAAACAAAAAAAAAAAAAAAAAATATATATAGTTATTTTTTCTTTTTAGATGAGTTATGTTATATTTTGATATGTATTGAAAAAGTATTAAAATTTTAGAAATCATTAAGGACTATTCATTTCTAGTAATGTAGTGTACATGCATGACTTTTTGTAGTATCATGTTTGCGCAATTCTATAACTTAATTAATATGGTTTAAATCTTAGCTCTCAAGTTTCAACTATATATTAAATTGGAACTACGGAGAAATATTTATCCTAGAATGAAGAAGAAGAACATTGAAGATTTCTATTTATATTCAGCAATTAGATGATATTCTTTTTTATATTTTCACATAAACTTAGTAAATTAAAGACGATATCTCTCTCGTGCGTCATCATTTTATGATACTTTTTCTTAGTTGTGTTGAACTATTTGTGTATTTGTAAACTTTAGTACTACATATGCAATTTCTTTCATTTATTTCAGCATTTCATGTAAGTTGGTTGGTGTCAAGATATCTACTAATTGCAAGATTTGTTCAAATTTTTTAGCACATGTTTGGCATTGTACCGTACCGTTTTGTACCGTTCTGAAACAGCATGGTACCGAACGGTTTCATCCTTGAAACCAGACCGTACCGGACCGTTTAAAACCTAATGGATACATTACGGGTTTTACTAGTTACCGGACCGCGCCCACCCCTAGTCCTGCTGGGGTATACTAGCCTCTGATTCGGCCAAATACTCTCCCCCGAGATCAGAATTCCGTTGTTGTCCATAAAGATATTGTATTGTTGTTTATGAATATGTAAATTTTAATCATTAAAAAATTGAATTAATTATCATTACAATATACTATCTTCCTAGTAGAAATAGATTTTTCATTTTGACTTATTGCCCTAAATGGGACTAAATACTTCATGAAATTCTTAAATAGGACTAAGCATATTTCTTTTCCTTAAATAGGACTGGATTACACATTTACCCTTATTCTTTCTCTTTCCCCTATTTTCCCAATGATTCCTCTCCCCTCCCCATGCGCATCTTTCTTCTCCCTTGCGCATCTTCTCCCCCCTACGCCGCACACCGTTTCTTCTCCCTTCCCCTTCGCACTGGAACAACCAAAGCCTCCCCCCGCCGCATCGTCCCCTTCTCACGCTGACGTGAACTCCTCCGCCACTGCCCACTCATAGCAATCGCCGTCGCTGACGCGCAGTCCACCGCCGTCGCCGCCATCGCCGTCGGAGATTTTCTCTTTTTCGAAGGCAGGTTCTCTTCTTTGGCTGTTCTCCCCGTTCTTTTTCCTCCTTCTCTAGTTCTCTCCCTCTTCAATTTCGTTGCAAATGTTCCATCTTCTTTGATTGGTAAAAAATGCCAAATTCAACTCTGAAAATGCCATCAAAATGGCATTTTATTCTACAAAAATTTTGTATTTTGCTTTGAAAATGCCATTAAAATGACATTCGTGATTCATGTTGGCAATTTGATAAAAATGTTGGCATTCATTCCGGGAACGGCCAGATCTGAAACGATAAAGGCCAGATTTGCAGTGGCAGATTCCGGATTAGCAGCGACAGTGGCCGGATCTACCAGAGCGGCGGCTGGTCGGTGGCGGAGGTTTGATTTGACCAAATCTTCGGCGGGGTCCGCCGTATCTGTAGCAGCGACAACCATATCTATATCGACGGCAGTCAGATCTACAAAGGCTGCTGCGTTTGAGGTGACGGAGACATCCGGTGGCCGGCGACAACAGTCGACCGACGGTGGTTTGGTGTTCTGATCGGAGTCAGTATGACTTTGAAGTTTCAGGGGGTGTTTTTGTCCAATTACGAATTATAACTCCTATTTTGAAAATTTTTAAACTTTAGTCCTATTTTAACAATTAAAGATTTATTTACTCCCATTTAGGTAAATATCCCTTTCTTTTTCATTAGTCTGGCATCAGGGAGTAAAGGTACAATAACTACAATCCTATCTGGAACTCATAAAAAATTTCCTAAAAAATATTCCTACATAGTTATAGTGTGACATTTTCACCGAATTTATTCCTCCGGTAATCAAATTCAGTAACTAGCAGGATCAGCGGATATATGCCTTAATATACTCCGTACGAAATAATTAAGAAAGTGATCACTTTGTCAAAAAAAAAAAGTGATCACATATTCACATGGACACCTAATTGAAAAGAAGAGTTTGTTTATTTTAATTTGAAGAATTATAATTAAATTATACAATATCAGATAATGATGGTGATTATACCACTAACAGACCATCTAATCTAATTAGCAAGAAATGTAATTATTATTACAATAACAATAATAAAATTTGCACACTAATTACTTTCCTGTCTTCAAATAAAAGTATGATCGAATTGAAGATCATGAAGTTCGTATCTAATTATGAACGAAGACGATCATCGATCACCAGCTCAAAGAAAGGAATCCCAATAAAAATCCCCCACCGACAAGAACCGCAATTCTCCGGGAGAAACCGCTCCTTTTTCCGGCGCCGGAAAAACTTTGATCCACCGGATATAAATTACCCGGACCGCCGGTGCCGTACACGTACTGGGGTGGTGTAGGGGGGCTGAGAACGGCTGGAGCGTCGTACCCACCTCCGCTCGGGGGTGGAGGCGGGCAGTAGGTGGTCGGTGGTTTCTTCGGCGGCGGCGGCGGAGACGGCGGAGGTGATGATGGCGGTGGAGGCGATACTGACGGCGGGCTATAACACGGCGCGTTGCAAGGGCACCCTCCACACTTGTTCTCTTCTCCGGGCACGCCGTCTTCTTCGAGTTTTCGGTGGATCGGCGATCCGTCGGACGGGATCGCCGCCGCAAGAGCGACGAAAAGGAAAACGGCAGCCGGCCACGACATGACGGCGAGGGAGAAGTCTAGGCAGCTGCTAGCTGGAGTAGCTAGCTCGACAGATGAAATGGAATATTGGATTGAAGGGGCTGGCCGGGTTTGTTTGATTGATTAGGATGATGATGAAATGGTTGTTGAAGGGGCGATTTATTGTTTGGAGGATCAGATTAATTTAGTAAATGAGAGAAGAAACTCAAGAAAGTAAGAAGGAAATGAAGACTTTTCGTTTACGCCTCTTTGAGGATGGATGCATGATTGTTATGAAAAGACAAATTGGGGCTTATAATAGGACGACGCATATGGAAGAATCCATTCGGAACATTTAAATGAGTATTTGGGGTTGATTAAAAAAACGCTTTTCGGCTTTTAGTTTAAAAAAAGTTGAAAAGAGTGTTTTCAAATGATAGCTTCTGCTTAAATTAATCACTTAAAAGCTAAAAGCTGGAAGCAGGTAGAAGGGTGCTTTAAACTGCTTCTCACTTTTTTCTATTACACAAAAAGTACTTATTTTACCAAACACTACCAACTTTTACTTTTTCACAATCATTTTTTTCTCAAACACTACCAACTTTTACTATTAATCACTTTTTCCAAAATCACTTTAATAAATCACTTTTTTAAAGTTGAAGCAATCGCAAACACTCCCTAAATCTTACAAAAAATCTATTGCTATACACTTTTGTACACATCTCCTAATTGCCTTTGTACACATTCAGTTATTTAAGAAAAATGTAACATCTCCTAATTGCCTTTGTACACATTCAGTTATTTAAGAAAAATGTAACATTTGTCTTCCAATTGTCTATGTACATAGACAATGTATAAAAGTGTGTATAATTAAAAGTGTGTACACTAAGAATGATTTTAATGTGTGTAAATCAAGAATGATTCAATTCTTATTGAAATTGATGAATTTGTGAGTTATAAAAAAAATTAAAGCACATCTTATCAATAAAAACAAAGAAAATAGTATGACAAATACTCCGTATATACAGTATATAATAGTCATCTTCATCCAATTTTATCAAATAAAAAATCACTTACATGTTTAATAAAAAGTTAATGATTAACGTTAGTAATTTTTTTTAAATATCTTTTTAAATCAATTATAGTATCTAACTATTTGCTTATAATATTACCAACATTTTAATTAGAATTAGAATGAGACTCGAATATGTGAAATCCTTTTTAAGTGATCAACAATATAAAGATTTCATCAAATCATAGAGTAATCGGCGGTTATAAGTTAAAATATGAGTTAAAAGGACTATAAAGAAAAACATACGGAGTACTACATGAGTGTTTTCAAATGACAGCTTCTTCTTAAATTAATCAGTTAAAAGCTAAAAGCTGGAAGCAGGTAGAAGGGTGCTTTAAACTGCTTTTCACTTTTTCTATTACACAAAAAGTACTTATTTTACCAAACACTACTAACTTTTACTTTTTTAGAATAACTTTTTTCTCAAACACTACCAACTTTTACTATTAATCATTTTTCCCAAAATCACTTTAAAAAATCACTTTTTTAAAGTTAAAGCAATTGGAAACACTCCTTACGTAAGAAACTAAATGACTGAGTGTAGTAACAACCTCCCATGGAGTATTTTAGTGTATTACGTAGTACTATGTATTATTTACGGTAGAAATTAACCCCGTCCCTAATACTTCGTATACACTATGTTTGTCACTACTCATTATCATCTTCTCCTTAATTTTAGCATATAATAAAATATTTAATTACACCCTATCTTAGACAACCTTCGCCAACCAATTGACACCGCCCACTTCCATTAACTTTCATAGTCATTTGCAACCATTGCGAGGTGCCACCGGCACCAACCACACCCATCCACCGGTTCCATTAAATAATGAAGTCAATCATTGCTTAAAATCTACTACATATTAATTACGGAGTATTAAGTGAATTAGTTACTGAAATTTAATTAATGTACTAAATACTTTCAAAATCATTGACTTCAATAGAAAGGAAGAAATAAGGTTGTTAACAAATCAAGTTTATTTTCAAGCTTTTGAATTTCGACTTGATTTCGAACCTAATAAACAAAACCAACAAGCATCGAACTCAAATAGGTTCGGATCATTTCAAACTCGATAATTTCAAACTACTTATGAATAAACATATGTGATATGGCCGTCCGAGTTTGAAGTGAGCCAAACACTATTACTTTTAGTTTGATTTGAATAAATATTTAACTTTATTGGGGTTCAAATATTTACTCGAATAGAATTAAAGAGCAATAGTGTTCAGTTCAGTTCAAACTCCAGCATATCATATATTTATAAATTACAGAGATAAATTATATTCTCCGGAGTATATGTTTAAAATTAAATGCCTTTAGTTCAATTTAAATTTTAAACGTGACTTTAACTGAATAGAATATTTCTTGAACAGTTCATGTGCATACCAATAAATGAGCATAAGCTAAAGTTATATAATTGACTTGTTGAGCTTTTGTGCTAATTAAAAAGTCTCTACAAACCTCTAGTTATATGTTTGGCATGATATTTTTTCAATGTTTTTTTCAAAATAAAAAATCTTTTTGAGAAGCTATAATGGCAGTATGGCCGGGTAGCACCTAAGAGAAAGCACATAGCTTTTGGCATTAATTAGTTACACTAGCTTGCTGTACCAAATAGAACTGAATCTAATAATCGGCTTTTTATCAAACAGTTATAATCCTTTTATTTTAAGATCTTTCAGTTATTAAAACCTAACGTTTATGATAAAAAATCCTAACGTTTACTAAAATGTTTGTAAAAATATATTTCCAACAACTTGTGTCAAACATACCCTAGCATGTAGCCTTTATACATTATTGTTGGTTCAAGTCATTTAATTTGGAGCTAAATAATACTACCTCCATCCCATTTTATGAGATACATTTTCTCTTCTAGGCTTTTCCAAAAATATGAAAACTTTCTTTTTTTTTCGACGATAATATGTAAGTATATTAGAAACCGAAGAAAAAAATAGCATGTTACAATGCATCAATCCAAATCAAAATGACTATCTAAGCTAGAATAAACTAACCTAGATATAATGCATCAAGAAAATGGGACAGTCACCACTTCACAAATTACTTAACACCCAAGAAAATAACAAGTCAATGTTACAAATAAAGTGCATATCCCAGTACACAGGATACCACAAAATCAAGATCCACTCCCTCCCACATCAATAATATTAGGTATCCCCAATTTAAACTCCAAAGAAAGCTCGGAAGGGAGTAGTAAACTTTGAGTCAAAACAAACCTCCCCTTTCTTCTTAGCTACTCCCAGCATACCCTCGAGACATTTGGCGGTGAAAGTAAGTCCTTTCTTATCCAAATCATCCGTAAGTCGAAGAGAAAATATGAAAACTTTCTTAGGGGCGGCCTTAGGGGGACCGGAGGGTTGGAAAATATTATCCTGATGATTTCTCCGAACAAGAAAAGTTACATTTGAGATGTCAATTGAAGCATTCTGAGCTTGATATTCATCAATTCAATATTTGTCAACAATTTCAAGCTTTGTCAAGATTTAGTGTAAACAAGAAAGTCAGAGATATACCCTCTCGTTTATAAATGGGTTCGTCTGGTGTTGAATCTTCCGATTTTTATTGCTATGGAGCGAGATATACCCTCTTGTTTGTAAATTGGTTCCTCTAATTTAACCCTCTTGTTTTCTGGACCATATTTCAATACACAGACTTAGTGGTGGACTCGGGCAGGTTCGGGCCCGGTTCAAGCCTCGGTTCATGAAAAGGGAGGCCCGGAACCGGCTCGGGTAACCCCCGGGTCCGGGTCGGGCCGGGCCTCGGTTCAATTTATATTTTTTTTGGCTTTTCCTAATTAACCCCCAAGCCTCCCCCTCACGCCCAAACCACCTCAAATGGCCCAAAATACCCAGTCCAACCCAAAAACTTAAAAAAAATTCAAAAAAAAAAAGCAAAAAAAATAAATTGGCCCGGACCGGCTGGGCCGGTTCACCTTTTGAGGGGCCCGAGCCCAGCCCGGAACCCCAGCGGGTCAGGCCTACCCGGAGCGGTCCCTGGCCGGGCCGGCGGTTCGGGCCGGTTCAAACAGTAACCGGATCAGGCCGGTTCCGGGGCGGGCCGCCCGGCCCGAGTCCACCCCTACACAGACTAGATCAAATCTTAAGACTATAATAAAAAAAACACAAAATATACCTAGACCAATTCAATCTCCAACGAATTTAAAGAGACCAACTCCAAGCTAAACCAAAATATGTCGATCCAACTAAAAACATCTTTATAAAATTGTTCAAAGCTTGTACGTAGACATCTAAGAGGTAAAGGTACACGTAGGCCGGGAAAGTGCGAAAATGACGCATAATATTCTTGCATCGACGTGTTCTTGAGATGATATACATGTATATATAATTACAGATCAGATTGATTATAGATAAATAAAAAGACTTAATGGTCAAGGCAATGAAATCCCACGTGGATGGTCGGTTTAGTCCCCACCACTTAGCTGCTTTAATGCGTGTATGTTGCCGATCACACTCACAAATTCTACGGCCTTTACACGCAGAGAAGATATTCCATCACCTTCACGTAATTTCGCTATATTTATTAGGTCACTTTTCTTGAAGGCTGCTGCTGCTATAAAAGAAATGGTATAAATAAATTTTAAATGTGCTCTTTCGGTGTCGGCCGTTTTTTCCATTAAAAACATGCTACACCAAGCTAGTTGCCTAGTTTTCTATACGAAGTATTTCTTTGAATAATACTCCCTCCGTCCCAGGGAGAAGTTCCCGGGTTGACTTTCACACATATTAAGGAAATAAAGTTACGGAGGGGTAAATTTTACTGTTTGGCACTGTTTCGACACTGTTTGGCACTGTTTCGACACTGTTTGGCACTGTTTGGCACTGTTTTTATGTAGGATAACTTTCCATTTAAGGAAATGAGAACTTTTTGTTGGGACTGCCAAAAAAGGAAATTGGGAACTTCTCCCTGGGACGGAGGTAGTATTCATTACATTTTTTTCATTCTATGACCATCAATCAACACCCATTCCCGAGAAATTATAATCACATGAATTTGATTTTATAATCTTTTATTTAGGAAAGAATGAAGAGAAATTTTCTTGAAAAGGAATAAAACATATGAAATTTAGGATTTAGGATTATTACTTTTCCGTGTAATCACGTAGGACTAAAATATAGATGAAATGTCGAAATTGCCTTGCAAAGTCACTTTTCTTCTGTTCGCGATTTGAGAAGCTTGCGCTAAAGAATACCTCTACTAATTCCATCTAATTCATTTTAAATCATTCATACACTACAAAAAAACAGCGTTATAGTCACGGATTTTAGTCACGGATTTCGTCCGTGACTAGTTTAGTCACGGTCTAGTCACGGATTTGTCACGGAATTTTTAAAAAAAAAATAGTCACGGTCAGGGCCGTGACTTTGACCGTGACTAACATTAGTCACGGTCCATGACCGTGACTTAATTTCTCCGATAGGCCAATTCCCGTTTCCGGCGCAGTTTTTTTGATTCCGATGATTTAGTCACGGCCAAATCCGTGACTATGCCCGTGACTATAATTAAAATTTAATTTTTTTCAACTCCCTTGGTTAATTCGCAACGGCATTATGTACGGATAATTGTAGTCACGGCCATATCCGTGACTAGTTCCGTGACTATGTTGATTAACACGTCATTTACACGTAATTAACACGTGTTGGACGCGTGTTGGACACGGTTTTGCTTAGTGACGGACAAATCCGTGACTAAGTCCGTGACTAAATTTTTTATATATGCAGGAGCAGCTCATTCATTCAACAGAACCACACCAATTCATTCCCAGTATATACAGTATCCGTAGATCGAAGGATGTAGTCTATCTTCTATCATTTTCCCTGTTTATGCAGATAAGGTATGTTATTTGAATTATAATTTTTATTTAGAATTAGTTGGTTCAATTTAAATTATTAAAACTATTAAATTAGTGAGGTTGTTAATTAATTAACAACATGTTTTAACTATAAGCGTAGTAATGTCATAAATTAGAATTAGTTAAACTTTAGTGAATTGTTATATTATTGGGTTGAATTTGGTCATATTATTTAATTTAGTGAATTGTTAATTGTGTATTACTAATAAGATTAAATGTCATTAACGTAATAATTTAGTGTAGGTTTAAACGTAGGTTTACAAAAATAATTTAATTAAAATTCGTTTGCTAAACGTAGGTTTGAACGTAGCTATTGATGTGTTAATTAAGTTAAATTAGGTAGCTAAACGTAAGTTTAAACGTAGTGATGCATTAAAAGGGGACGGAATGAACTAGTTAAATTTAGTTAAATTTAACTAAATGAATTAGTTAGATTTAATTAAACGTATGTTTAATATAGTGAAATTATCTGCATTATTGTGCATTAGGGGACATATATATTGTGCATAACTAAGATGTGAATTCTGTGCATTTCATTTAAAAAAAGTGAAAATTAGTTGATTATATTTAGTGAAATAAATTACTTAAAATTGTGTGCATTGCATTTCATCTAATTTTTTATTATAATATTCAGGCATAATGTATAAAAAAAATAGAAGTTGGATGTATGATAAAGATGCGGTATTGTACGGAATGCAATCAAATTTTCTCGAGGGAGTCGGAGAATTTATTGAATTTGCACTTGAACATCCGGCTTATATGAGTGGTGATAAAATAAGATGTCCATGTTCAAAGTGTAAAAATCTCAAATTTAAAGACCCACACGAAGTTGGGTATGATTTGTACGCGGTCGGTTTTGTTCCCAATTATTATAATTGGACTTCTCACGGCGAACCTTTGGATCCATCTGTTATACCACAAACGGTAGGTTCGTCTCGTTACGTCCCTCCAGAGATGAGTGCGTGGGGAGACCGTGCTGAAATGAGGTGGGACCAACAAATGGTATATGACGCATACGGTGTACCGTCTCAATTCAACCCCCCACAACCACCTAACGACCCCCCTGAAGCCTCAACCTCGTATCAACCAGATGCGGATGAAAATCCGACATTTTATCAACCTTATGTGGATGAAGGTTTGGCTGAGAGATTTCAGGATGTTCTAAAAGCTGTCGACCAACCTCTGTATGCTGATTGTGAGGGATACTCTCAGCTATCCGCTGTTACTGAGTTCATGAACATAAAAGCCGAATACAGTCTCCCTGAAACTTGCATGAATAGAGTCTTGCAGTCAGTAGGAGGGATGCTACCGCGAGATCATACCCTTCCCGATTCATATTACCACATGAAGCAGTTAATGTCTAAGTTGGGGCTACCTTGTGTTGAAATTGATGCGTGCCCGGAAGGATGTATGTTGTTCTGGAAGGAGGATGAGGCACTTGAGTTCTGCAAGTTCTGTGGTGGAGACAGATACAAACCTGTTCGTCAAAATAAAAAGAAACCACGACATAGGTCTGCACTGTCTAAACTGTATTACCTCCCAATAGCTCCTCGACTGCAAAGGATGTACGCTTCGACTGCTACTGCGAAACACATGACATGGCATGTTGAGCACGAAACCAACGAGGGTATGATGGCTCACCCTTCGGACTGTGAAGCCTGGAGACACTTTGACCGCTGTCATCCTCAGTTTGCTATGGAGCCACGAAATGTGCGACTGGGATTGTGCTCAGATGGATTTGCTCCTTTTGGCAGGTTTGGCAAGAACTATTCATGTTGGCCGGTCATGTTAACACCTTACAATCTCCCTCCCGACATGTGCATGAAAAGTCATTTCATCTTTTTGTCTTTAATTTGTCCGGGTTCCAAGGATCCTGGGCGAAAGATAGACATTTATCTCCAACCCCTTATCGAGGAGATGAAAGAACTGTGGGCCGTTGGGACACCAACTTATGATGTTTCATCAGATAAAATGTTTATCATGAAAGCTGCCATCATTTGGACCATTAGCGACTTCCCTGCCTATGGCATGCTTTCGGGATGGAGCACACACGGTCTGATGGGATGTCCGATATGCATGGAGAAATCAGGTGCCAACTGGCTCAGTTACAGCAAAAAAGGAAGTTACTTTTTTGACTTCACAGTGAATTCCGAGCTTCTTTATCAGCCTTTCCTGAGAATGAAATAGATGCGTTGGTGGACTCTGATTTTGTAAATTGGTACAAGTATCAGGTATATATACACACACATTAATTATATATATTACCTAATGTTTACCTAATGTTATTATTATGTTTATATTTACAGATCAATAGTCGTGGGATTGTCGACCCTTTGTTAGTATCATTAGCGTGGGGCCCAGGTGCCAGTGCCAAAGTGTGGCGGCAATATGTGATAAACGGTTACACATATCACACAGCCGATTACGGAGAGGGCCGACCAACAACGAACAGCGGGTTATGTGTCCCGACCATCGGTTATGATAACTCGGAAACCAGTTTTTTTGGTGTCCTGCAGGAGATTCTGGAACTTGAGATGCCTTCTTGTGCGAAAAAATTGACATGCGTTCTGTTCCGTTGCACATGGGTCGACCCCACACGTGGCGTGCGCAAAAATCCGAAGTATAATATGATTGACGTCAACCTCTCTCGTGTGTACCCAAAAAATGAGCCTTTCATACTCGCCCAACAAGCAGCGCAGATTTATTATGCAGAATATCCTTCAACAAGGCGGACACAGAATCCTTGGGTGTGTGCATGTCCTGTCCGTCCGAACAAAATAAAATCACAAACTCAACACAAGGACGTTGATCTAGATGCTTTTCAGCAACAATTTTTCCAACCTCCGCCTATTGTTGAGACGGTCAACTATAACCTCCAATTAAGTGATCCAAATGGCGGACGTGTTGAAGTCATGCCAGAAACGCACCTTCCGGACCCAACCATTCCATCTGAGCGCGAAATTGAGGAAATGTATGTAGCACAACAAAATGCTCAATATCAGGAAGAAGGTGAATGGATAGACGGTTCAGATACAGAAGAAGATACTGTATATGTAGAAAATGACGATTCTGATAGCGAATAATTGTGCTGTTGTAATTTCAATTTTATTGACTTCTAATATTTGTGCAGATTTCTTCATCATTATATTACTCCAACAATATTTGAATTTTTTTCTATCTTTATCATTATTATTTATGAACAAAAAATTACTCCATATTAATTCAACCACAACAAGTTTTTTATATCCATATTATAAATTCAAAATAAAATTTTTCACAATTCAAAGTTTGAAAATTAAAATTTACCCAATACAAAATATGAAATTACTCTATATTATATTCTTTTATTTTCAAATTCGAAAATTCAAATATTATTTTTGATTTTTCTAAATTCGAAAATTTATTTTAATAATTTTTAATAATTCGAAATTCGAAAATTAATTTTAATAATTCTAAGTCTATTCGAAAATTAACAAAATTCGAAAATTAAAAAAACAGTAATCTACTTTTACTAATCTGAATATTATAATAAATTTAGATATTAATAAACAACTAACAGATATTTATTTATCAAATTTCAAAGATAAATACAAAACACACAATGAAATTGTCACATATTATTTATTAAACAACTAACATAGATTTATTTATTACATTAGCCTAACTAACATTATTCATTCCTCAATCGGAAACTTTCAAGAGGCCTAGCCCACAACTCCTGAATTTTCATTCGAGCTTCTTCGTTGATCGGGTCCATATACTCTGAAACTTCTTGTGCACGTTGAAGCATCCGACACAAATTTCTTGCTTTTGACTTGCCCAACGAGTCGGATTCTTCATCTTTATAATCGCCAAAACTTTCAAGGGGTCTAGACATCAACTCCTTGATTCTCTCGTATGCTTCCACGGTTTTCGGCTCCATAAGCTCTGTAATCAGCTTAAGTCGTTTCATATCTCTACACATCGAATCCCAGTCAATTGGACCTCTATTAGCCATTTTTTTTTACAGTTCAGTCTTGGGCCGGAGAAAGATTATTTATACTAAAAAATTTCAAGTTGTCACGGTCTTAGTCACGGTCAGGACCGTGACTAAACCCTTCGTAAATGTCGAAGTCAGTCCGCCGGTCAGAGTGGCGCTGACAATAATAGTCACGGTCAGAACCGTGACTATGACCGTGACTATTTTCAAAATTTGAAAATAGTCACGGTCATAGTCACGGTTCTGACCGTGACTATTCTGATTAATGGCGACTCTGACCGGCGGACTGACTTCGGCATTTACGAAGGGTTTAGTCACGGTCCTGACCGTGACTATGACCGTGACTAAACCCTTATATAAAACGAACACTTAGCGTTTTTTTTAAAAACCTACGCACCCAACTCCCAAACCCTAACTTCCTCTTCCTTCTCTCTTCCCTCTCTTCCAGTTTAGACAGTGCCGCCGCCGCCTAGCCGTCCGCCGTCAGCCGCCTAGCTGTCCGCCGTCGCCGCCTAGCCGTCCGCCGCCGTCCGCCGCCTAGCCGTCCGCCGTCGTCCTCCGGCCGCCTTCGTCCACCTTCTTCCGTCGGCCCTTCTTCAGTCAAGGTTATGTGTTTGTTCATCTTATTCGATTAAAATTCCAATATTTGATTAAAATTCCAAAAATGCATGATTGTATACTCAAATGCATGATAAGATGCACGAATTTTAGTTTCATATCATTTTGTAATCTTCAAAAGTTATATGTATGATTTATTATATGCATGATTTGTAGTTTTGCATGTTAATTTCATTTTATATGTTTCGTATGCATGATTAATATATGTTAAATGTAGATTATTTATATGTTAATATATGTAGATTTTTTCGTATGCAAAAAAAACTTGGCAAAACACTGTTTTAGTTTATATGTTTCATATGCATGATATGATTTATATGTTTTGTATGCATGATAATTATGTTTAAATGATTTAAATTATTATATGTGTAGTATATGTTCTTATGCATGATTAATAATATTTAATATATATGATTAGTGTGTGATATGCATGCCTCTCAATGGTTAACCCGAAATATTAAAAAAAAAATTGCCCCCTCATGTTAAGCTTTCACAAACTTAACATGTTTAATTCTAATTTTACAAATTTTTATAAACAAATTTTATAAACTGTTTTATTAAAAAGCTGTTTTAATAAAAAGTGTTTTTATAAAAACTGTGTTTATAAAAATTTCACAAGCTTTCACAAATTTTTGTGAAAACTGTTTTAATAAAAAGTGTTTTTATAAAAACTGTGTTTATAAAAACTGTTTTTATACAAACTGTTTTAATATAAACTGTTTTTATAATTTATCTAAAAAAAACTGTTTTTACAAAAATTGATATATATAAACTGTTTTATATAAAATGTTTTATTAAACAGATTTTTGTAAAAAACAGTTTTTATAAAAAGTTTTTTTATGAAAACTGTTTTTATTAAAACTGTGTTTATAAAAACTGTTTTTATTAAAACTGTGTTTATAAAAAGTTTTTATTAAACAGTTTTAATAAAAAGTGTTTTTATGAAAACTGTTTTTATTAAAACTGTGTTTATAAAAACTGTTTTTATACAAACTGTTTTTATATAAACTGTTTTTAAAATTAATCTAATAAAAACTGTTTTTATAAAAACTGTTTTTAATAAAAACTGTTTTTATACAAACTGTTTTAATATAAACTGTTTTTATAATTTATCTAAAAAAACCGGTTTTACAAAAATTGATATATACAAACTGTTTTATATAAAATGTTTTATTAAACAGATTTTTGTAAAACAGTATTTATAAAAACTGTATTTATAATAACTGTTTTTATAAAAACTGTATTTATAATAACTGTATTTATTAAAAAACAGTATTTATAAAAACTGTTTTAATATAAAGTGTTTTTATAAAAACTGTATTTATAATAACTGTTTTTATAAAAACTGTTTTAATAAAAATTGTTTTAGTAAAAACTGTTTTAATAACAACTGTTTTAAAAACTCTTTTATTAAACAGATTATTTTTAAAAATAGTTTTTTGTAAAACTTGATTTAACAAACTGTTTTAAATTTATTTTAAAATGATATATCTAAAACATAAAAAAATGATCTCCTCTCATGTAAACTTTGCAAAAAGTTTAACATGTTACCTCCAAGTGCAATTTATTACCAAATTATTTAAGAACTTATTATGAAAAAATATGGACCCCTCATATTAAACTAAAAATAGTTTAATATGCTATACACATTTTCAATTAATAATACTTGTATAAATTTTTATAGTAAAAAATAATAAATATACCCCAAACTTTAATGGACCTTTAGTAAGCACACCTCAAACTTTTATAAGCGTTCTAACAAAAAACAAAATAAATTAATATATTTTAGATGAGCAACGAACAATCGACCTCGGCTCCCCGCCCTAACCATGCGCCTATGTCCGAAGCGGAGCGCAACAATGATGGAGCTGTTTGGGTGACGCCTGCAGAAGTTCTTTTGTAAGTAGTTATGAAAAACCTTATTTTCAATAATTTTATATAATGTTAAATAATCAAACCAAATCTTATATAAATAAATACTATTAATTTTTTTAAGTGACGAACAAGTGTTCACGGGCATCAAAAACATCATCGGAGGACACTTTCTTGGCACTTGGGCCACACTGTCAGATGTTGACCCCAAGGTTCGCGAACTATGGTGGAACCTGTTCAAGGTAAAAATAAATGAATGTTCCCTTCCTGATTGTATTGGCCTAATATATACCTGGTGATTAATTAATCCAATTTGTTTTAATAAAGGCTCGCTATCGTTGGACTCACGCACACGGTGCCGATATTCTTAAAGCCTACAATGCTAGGATTTCGACCTGGCTTCGCGCCACTTTTAAACGGGCGCGAAAAAGTGGGAAAAAGCCTAGATGGGTTTCGGATGAAGTGTGGTCCAACCTTTGTCGCCACTGGTCTTCTGATCCGAAATTCTTGGCCAGAAGTGAATCCGGTAAGAAAAACCGGATGTCCGAGAAGGCCTTGGAGATGCAGTGGCACGGAGGTCGTAAATCTCAGAATGCCCATAAAGAAACTCTTGTAAGTGCTATTCAAAAAACCTTACAACATCACATTCCTTTATTATAAAAAATTTAATTTAAGTCTTTTTCACACCATTTAGGCTGGTCCTGAGAAGAAGAAGGTTGATGTTCTCCGGCTCGTCAAGCATTGCTGGACGAAGCACGGCGAGGAATCTGAAGCCGATTTGCCACCCCGCCTCGCTGACTTCGAAGTATGTAACATCATATTTTGTTATTTAGTAACATTTAAAATCTAAGTATGTAGCATTTAAAAAATCTTTTTGAAAATGCAGACGAAGTACAACGAATCCCTCGACAGGCAGCGTGCGGCACGAGGCTTGACCCAGGAGGACGACCTCGATTCCGATGCGGATGATGAGGCGGCCATTGAGGCGGCCGGGGTTTACAAGGGCCGGGTTCCGTGCTTAGGGGCCGAGGGGCAACGGATTTTGTATGATCGAAGCACCGGCGCTTCCTCTTCTCGGTCAAGGCGGGGAGAAGATCCCCGTATTGCCACAATGCAGCGTGAACTGGAGGAGCACGAACGGCGATGGGAGGAGCAGCGGAAAGCAGATGCTGCTACAAAAGCCCGGTTGGAGGAGATGGAACGGTACATGCGTGCCGGATTCCAGCCTCCGCAACAGCCTTTTCCTCCCCCGTACGTATTCCACCCTGAGCAAACTCCTCAAGTTCAGCACATGGGCGGTATGGGATTTTTCCCCAACTCCGGATATGGTGGCATGCCTATGATCTCCCCGAATTTCGGTTCTATGTCCTTTGATTTTGCGAGGTCATCCGGAGGAGGTAGTGGCACGCCGAGCCACGGAGGCCGAGGAGCACCCCGAGGAGGACCCCGAGGAGCACCCCGAGGAGGAACCCGAGTTGACCCTGAAGACCCCCCCGTGAACCCAGATGAGTTTCTTGTTGATGATGAAGAAGAAGAAGAAGAAGAAAATCCCAATTTTTATCATAATGGAGTCCCACGGGACATGTAATCATCATACATTTATTATTTGTTGTATTTCAAAACTTTTAAAAGTTTGTCACAATATTTATTGAATTTGTTGTATGTCTTTATTCTTAAAATGTATTTATTTTAAAAAAAATAGTATAATATTTTCAATAACTCATTTTTTAAAAAACATTTTGAAATTTAATTTGTAAACTTCCGTTTTTAAAAAAGTAATTTTTAAAAAAATTTAAAAAAAAAACAAACGAAAACTGGATTTTTTTTTTTTTAAAAAAACAAAAAAAGTAGTCACGGGCTTATCCGTGACTATTATTAATCCGAAATTATTATTTTTTTAAATAAAAAAATAATTAGTCACGGTCGACAACCGTGACTAATTTCAAAATTTTAAATTACCGCCGCGGGCGGTCTTTTACTCAATTTGAAAATTTGAAATATTAGTCACGGTCCAAAGCCGTGACTACTAAAATTAATTTTTAAAAAAAACTTAGTCACGGTTTCTGACCGTGACTAATACGCCGGAGTGGGTTTCCGGCGGGTATTATAGTCACGGCTTCTGACCGTGACTAGTCCGTGACTAAATTTAGTCACGGTTCGTTGGACGTGACTTCAATTTAGTCACGCCCATTAAGTCACGGATTTAGTCACGGCCAGCGACCGTGACTACATCATTTAGTCACGGAAAAATTGAACTGCTGTCCGTGACTAAGTCCGTGACTACGACCGTGTTTTTTTGTAGTGATAGCATTCATATTCTGTTTCTCACCATTGAATTTGAAAATGCTATAATTGTTTTGTTATTGAACACTTATTTGAAAAAATGTCACTTGACATTACATTTATAAAGATGACAATTTTTATTTTACATTTTTGTATCATCTTCAAGGCGAGGTAAAATACGGCACTCCTAGAGTAAAAAAGACATCTAATTTAGTGTTGCCATTATTGCAATTTGGTGACAATGGAAGAGAGGCAAAGAATAGAAGAATAATAGTAGAACAACTAGAAGTTCTGGACTGGACATCGTGGAGAAGAATCGATGTTGAAGTTCTGGACTGGACATCATAGAGAAGGATCGATGTTGAAGTTCTGAACTGGACATCATAGAGAAGGATCGATGTTGAAGATACAAGAGAATGATAAATTTTGGTATTGCAGTAAAAGAGGATGACACAGAAAAAGATTGACGCTTGAAGCAGAGAAAAGGATATTTTAAACATTGCGCAGGGACATTATAAACATTGCAGAAAATGTAAAAACTCATAATAAGAGCACATGACTCCTATATTGAGAATAAAACATACAAACTCATAATTCAATTTTTCATCTATGTTTTAAGCCTACTTAGGAGAATTTCTTGAGATTTTCCATCATTTGCAATGGAGCCAAAGATTCATTATTTTTTGGCTTGAGAATACGATGGAATAATGCAAAATGGTCACTAAACTGTCTGCGCTTCTTTGTTATGAAGCAGCAGTCAGTCCATGCAATTTTGGACGTGATTTTCACTATGGGTCATCCAGAAATAGTCCCCCTAAGAATTTGTTGAGAATTTCTTAAGAATGAATATCGCTAGCACCAAGATCAATAACGCTATACGTTCAATCAAACCAAAACGTGGCAACTGGCAAGTATATATGAGGTTGGTTATAAAGCCTATACCATGTTTTGAGACTAAGTACACATAAAACACCGGCTTTATTATTCAAAAGTTCAGATCAACTATAGGTGTCTCTATCCATAGGTATCTCTATCCATAGGCATCTAATGAGTGACAACACTTTCTAGTTTCTATTGTTCAGATCAACATTATTAGCACCAACTCTCTATTACATGAGAACTAATACATCATGACTGACATTAGAAACCATAAAAACATGGTGATGGTTGGTTGTACCAATATGATGAACTTCACACAACCTACACACCTCCTATAAGATTGCCACGCATCGCTTTGTGACTACAAATCCATCAGTTTGGTGATTGGAACAACTCAATAGGCGAACTGCCGAACCATGCTTATGTGCCCAGCCTGCTTTCCTTCCTGCAAATTTAAACACAAACAACACGACCACAATCTGGGCTCTGCTAAACATCTATCTCCATTTTTTCGGCTTTTGGAATTTCACACAAAGCAGGTGTATACAAGAGCAGTGGACTCTCTGAAGGAAAACTAAAGGTATATATATCACAGATAGAATATGAGAGCAAAATGAAAAAACACTTAACTTTTTCTGCTCTCAAGGCGCTCATCAGCAAGAAAAGGTTTTACTCTGTCCAGCCATGCTTGAAGTCATGGTCCCCAAAAACAACTCAGAAGAGTGGACTGGAGAGCTAGCTGGGTGCAGTGGTGGATTGGACCATTCAGGAACATCATATCCTTTAGCCATCTCACCAAACATGCTTTGAATCTCCTCAATGCTGTAACTCTTACCCTGAATCCACATTACATCAGAAATCAACATAAGACACGTATTCAATCTTCTAAAAGAAGTCCAAATATTTAGAAGTGAGTTCTATTTCAAGAGAATGGGGCGCAAGTCAACAACCTTTTTGTTACTTGTTCTGTTTTACAGGTCACACCTACACCTAGTGAAGGGAAACTAGCCAAAAAAATTATAGTTCCTCTGTTAATTCAACAGCCAAATTTACATATTTTCACCCCAAGGGATCTTCAAATTTGGATTAGACATCCACATAAAACAGTAATACTAATTGCATTTTCCTGCGATCAGTGGCGGAGCCAGGAATGTCAAGTTACAAGGGCCGGGGCTTAAGGAATTTATATAGCCGGGGCCAATGCTTAAATTTTCACTATATTTTTTACTACTTATAAATATTTATACATATGTATATACATCACAAATTTTTTCTTGTAGGGGCCACGGCCACCGCCAGCCACCCCCTGTCTCCACCCCTGCCTGCGATTGCTCTGCATTTCCATGTTCATTTCATGTCTACTAATCTCTCACTCACATGCAATGAAGAAAAACCTCTACATTAGATATACTCAGAATTTCAGAGTAAAGAAATTTCTAGAATCTTGAAAAAATTGGGATCCACCACAGAATATAAAAGGTACCAGAAAAGTAAGAAATTTCTGTAAGTATCAAAAACTATATCTGGGATTTGTTAATCTCATTATCTTTTTTACAAATCATTGCATGATTTTTTCTCTATTCTTTGAACGATATCTCTTAAGTTCTATCATTCCGCTCACTTATAAATATCTGATGAACATAATTATTAAGTTCTATCCATCTCAGTATTTCTTCGTAATAAGAATCGTAGGAAGCGTGGCTGGCACATGCACATATGGGACGAAGTCCTTCCAGGTTAAAGAAAAAGAATCATCACTTCTAAGTTTTTTTTAGAGCAAACAAATGGATGGTATGAATAACTAATGCTAGTAGAATTACCAATTAGTAAACACACACTCTAGTCCGTAGTATTGTTAATTGCCAACCAAAAACTGTTATTAAGAATTTAAGATATAAATCTGTCACCTAAAGCCCTAAAGGATCAACAGATTCAAACTTCATCTCAGGGCATGTTCGTTTGAGGTTTTTTAAGGAAAGGTCTCATTTGGTTAAACTAAATACAGTAACACAAAAAACACACCCTTCCCCTCCGCTGCATTAAGGAAGAAATCCCATACTTGCCATTGTGATTGAGGTCATGGGCCCTTGCAAATCTTGACATCTTGTTGGGAAATAAATGCAGAGTTCAAAGAAGGCAAAATTGGAAAACATTGTGCAATTACAAATTTTAACCGCAAAATCAGAACAGTCAACATATGATTTTTGCTCATTACCTCCTTCTGAGCATCACCCATTAGAGTAACCATTTCTTGTAGAAAATTTGCAAATCCCTGCAGGAAAAGCATCTAGCAGTTAATGTCCATTTTGGACTAGGATATTGCTAGGGAAAGTAAACATAGAAAATGTTGAATATTTTTTGTTTGGTTTTGTTTTTTAATATTTATTATCTGTTGAATAAGCAGTTCAGAATCAACGGATATGCAAAAAAAATCAAGCACTTATATAATTCTCTTCACATTTTCGAGTAGAAACTGAACATAAAATTTAGTTTTTTCCTTTCCTAGCATCTTCCAGGATCAGGACATAGCCTTAGGGAGTCTAAACGAACAGAAGAACCAAATATAGGCTTTTATCCGTTCTTATTAAGATACACAAGATCTCATCTGGTCTAGCCTAATGGTCTAACCAACGGAAGGAATGAGATCTACATTGGATAGTTCCTTAAAAATTACTAGGTTCTAATACCTACTAAAATTTGGGGCTAATGTTAAAAGATCAAAGTCATCAACTTAGAGGCCTTTTGGAACCACTGTTTTTTTTTTTCCGGCTTATCAGGCTTATCAGCCAACTTTTTCACCAAACACGTAACTTTTGCTTTTGCACGCTGAATTGTGTAATAAGCAAAAAAAAGTAAGGTTGAAGTTACTTTTCTGGTTGTATTGACTGAAGTTACTGTAGATGACCATTTTAGCTATTTCTACATATAATTTTTTCTTTATTTTATTAATAAAATATATTTTAAAAATATTTTTTTTCTTAAATCATCAGAATCAACCCATGCAGCCACTTCAGTCAAAACTTCATAAATTTCAGCAGAATCGGCCAAAACAACCGATTTTCGTGCTACCAAACAGGCTCTTAATCAGAGCTAAAATATAACTGTACGAGCTTATATTTTTTTACCTAACTAGAGCTAAAATATAACCTTATGAGCTTTTATTTTTGTATTTGAGTGATAAAAGACGCCTTAACGAATGGGAAACATAACTGAAGAAGAACAAAATGGTACACAGCAGGACAAACCTCAACTTCATCATCATCATCATCTTCGCGGGGATCATACAAGCCAGCATCATACAAGGTTCTTCTACTCGGGTCAGATAAAACTGTTCAAAGCCAAATATACATCGAATCACCACTAAATTCGAGAAATTCTCAAGCACCATAGTACAAGAGGGGCAATACTAACCGGCATAGGCTTCTTGAATCTGCTGAAACCGCAACTTGGCTTCTCCTAACAACGAAGGGTTCCTCGTCCACTTATCAGGATGCCATTGCTGCACCAAAGAAGCAAAACTGAATTCAATCGCATCGATTAAAACTGAAAATAAAAACAAGTCCCTAATTCCTAAACAAAGAATGAAATGCAAGGGGTACCATAGCGAGCTTTCTATAGGCCCGGCGCAATTCTTCATCAGAAGAGCCTTCACTAACACCAAGAATGGTATAATAAGAAGGTGAAAACTTCCCGCCAGTCTCCATATCCGCCACTCTTCTCAGAACTTGACAACATGTACAGAAGTTCGTGAAATGGGGGTGATATGTGAATTTCAGGAGTCGGTAAAATGGTAGGGTCGAGAATCAGGATGGGTTCCAGAGAAAATATCTGAGAGGCTTGATATAGCTTTGGGATGTGTTTCGGGAAGACGAGATTTCATGAGGTTCAAGAACGTTCCAGAAGTAGTTATAAGAATTCAGGCTTTTACCCGCGTTCTCAATATTTGGATTCGGGTTTCTGGTGCGAAGATATTTTGATTGGAAATTTCTGGTGTTTCAACCGTAACAAGTTAAGGTGGGCCGACCCTTCCTGAATCCTGGCCCCAGCAACAATTAATTACCGAGTAATTCCATTTATGATATTTTTATTTAGACTCTTTACCGTCCCAGATCAGACTTAAACGAACAGATCAGATCACACTAGATTTAAATAGACTAGATCAGAACATACTTTAATAGTTACTACCTTCATCCCCTTTTTATTGTCTCTTTACGGTTCACGATGTTTGACCGACGATAAAGCAAACAGATCTCTGTCCGCACTCAAATTATTTTTAGAAAAAAAATTACATATTCAAAAACTACATTAAAAGTGTCTTACAAAACCGCAAAAACCTGAATCAAATTTGATAAATTTTTTATATATAAAATAAGAAATTAAGAGTGATTTGTGTTGACCAAGTGAATAGGAACATGGACAACATAAAGGGGACGGAGGGAGTATAAAATATAGAGATAAGACATTTTTAGACCATACCAAACCAATTCAGACCAGACCAGATCATAATAGATCAGCAAATTTCAATCCAAGTAAAAACATCCTTACAACCTCTATTTTGATATACAGTCACAAATTAATTATAAATTAATAAAAATAAATCATTCAAAAATAATTTGATAAATTTAAGACAAATTTATCAAATAGCATGATAAATTTATTATGATAGCATGATAAATACATTAAGACACTAAAATAGCATGATAAATTTATTATGATTTTACACAGTTTGTTTATTGATAATTCTATATGCAACCACCAAATTAAATATTACAAATCATGTTATTTAAAATATCTAATGTGCACATTAAGTAATAAAGTACATTATTTCAATACACTCAACACATATCTGATATTTAATATATTTAAGATACTCGCATGTGTGATCTGTTTTAACATTGATTTTTGTATACTTTTCACTATTATATTGGTTGATGAAGGATTGGTTAATTAATATATTTAGAGTTTGATAATACACGCATGTGAATTATATAAAACAATTACTTTCAGTTAGGATTAGAAAAAAAATCTCCATATTTTATACATTAATAATGTATTTTTTAGATGTAATGGATATCCAACCCCTGGCTAGGCGGAATCTAGAAAAGGAGAGACTAAAAGGTCTAAGTAAAAGTGAGTAAGAATTTTGGCAGAGTAACACTAAGCAACGCGCAAGAATTCGGATTGGATCCATTTATACTATCTAGAAAATACTTAATTGGTGAACAAGTATAAAATATTTTATTCCAATTTGATGATGACACGTGTAATATTTGGCTATCAAGTAAAATGTGTTAATCTAATTACAAGGTAACATGTGTAAAGCCTGATTGGAAAGGTAGAGTGGACAGCTGGCTGATTCGTACTATCCGTAATAATTTTCGTTATTTGCGCACCAGACGCATGTGCTAGCCACATGTGTACTATCTGGAATCTCCTATGCGACCGGTGGGCGTAGCTCAACTGGTAGCGAGAAGGTGCCACAAGAGTTAGGTCTCGGGTTCGAATCCCGGCAAATGTGATAAGGGGTTACTATGCTGAAAAATGCATAGGGCCTCTGCAAGTACCGGGGACGGAGCCCCACTCTCTATCTGTCAGGTTGTGATTATAGTCCAACTTACATCCTCTCATCGTGTTGTCCGGTCGATGTTGGGGGCTCTCAGGGATGGTGTGTCATCCTTTTTTTTTTGAAATCTCCTATGCGGAACTGCAGCTGGATGACGTAAGCCCCGGACATTTGTCGCGTGTCGTGATCATGTCCATGCGTAGTATTTGAGTGCATGTAGTTAAATGTCAAACGTAAGCCCCGAACGTAGGATGCGGAACTATCATTAGGTAACATACATCGGTTCTATGTTTAATGTCAACATAAAATGGAGTAATATGGAGTAATATTATTATTACTTTTATTATTATTATTATTATTATTATTATTATTATTTTATAATAATAAAAGTGATAAATCATGTTTGAAATTTTCTGATCTGATCTGAATTATTCTATTCTGATCTGATCTGAATCTTTCTGATCTGATTTGAATTTTTCTTATCTGATGTGATCTGAATAAAATAAGAATATGCAATAAGTAATAAGAATAAGACGAACAGAACAGCTTCTTAGTTAATGTAAGGTATTGGCCCTGTTTTCCCTAAGCCCAATTCCATATGGTTGACCCGGCCCCTGCTACTTTCTTTCTTCCATTCGCACATCCTAGTACTCCCTGCGGCTGGTACGATTACTTTCTCCCTTTGACGATTAAAGGTGTATCTTCTGGTTATGGTAAGTTTCCTTACCCGACTCTGTGCTTGACCCTATTTAATCGTGCTTCTCCTCTTTCGATTGTTGTTGGCTGAAACTCTATTTCTCTTCCTTTCGCCTTTTGCTCCTCTGTGGACATCCGAGTGCGAATTGGCCGGAAAAAGTGTGCTGGCTTGATGCCCACAAACTCCCCTTTAGCTTCCTAGTGGTGATTATCATCCTTTGTGGGTGTAATTTGGACGAGACCTGAGCTGGATTGAGATATAACAGTGGTATCAGAGCCAGGAGAGGTCTGCCGCCGCCACGCCGCCGTCTGCCGCCGCCACGCCGCCGTCTGCCGCCGCCGTACGCCGTCGCCGGAGGTCCTGCAGTGTTGCCGCCGTCAGCCCGAGTTTTCCAGCGTCGTCCAGAAGGTTCCAGACCTTCTGCCAGGAGCCTTGCTGTTGTCCCGTTGCTGCCCAGACCAGTCTGCCGGAGGTGCTGCCCAGACCAGTCTGCCGGAGGTGCTGTCCAGAACGCTGCCGCCGCCCAGGAGTGCCGCTGCCGCCTTCCAGTCCGCTGCCGCCGAGTCTACAGCAGCCCACGCTGCCTACGGTAAGTCGGGTAACCCAACCTCGGGCCCCGCTCAGGTAAATTGGCGATAAACATCCTTGGTGTACCGGAGTGCCACCAGATTTATTTTTCCCCGCTCCCCCGCTGCTGATCTACGAGGTCTTGGATGCCGGCTGTGCCCGGCCCCAGGTACGTTTATCAATCCTTTGTGTGATTTTTATTCGTAGTTCATTCATTTTTAATTTCAAGTTAATTGCTATTTGATTGTTAGTTGAATTGTGATTACTTGTTGATTCGTGAATTAATTTTCCGGTGAAGAATATTTTGTTTGGATACTCGTTGTCCAAAGTTGTGAATATTTCTTCCGGTTTAAATTTAATCACGTGTTGGATTTTTTATTTTTATTTTTTTGATTTTTCTGTTGTTTGATTCGTGGATAAACTCTCCGGTTAAGAATATTTGTTTGGATACTTGTTGTCCGAAGTTGGGAATATTTCTGTCCGGATTAGTTTTAAATCCCGTTTCTTTGCTTGTTGATTAATTCTAGCCTATTTGTGCTTGTACGAAAGAACAAGGAGATTGTACCCCGAGCTTTGTGTTCATTGGTCTTCTCGGCTTGTTCGTGCTAGTTGCTTCGTACAATTGATAGCCCTATAGGTTATAATTAATCATTTATCTGTCTGTTGAGTAAATAAAAATTTTATCTGTGCTTGTACGAAAGAACAAGGAGATTGTACCCGAGCCTTGTGTTCATTGGTCTTCTCGGCTTGTTCGTGCTAGTTGCTTCGTACGGTACGAAAGAACAAGGAGATTGTACCCGAGCTTTGTGTTCATTGGTCTTCTCGGCTTGTTCGTGCTAGTTGCTTCGTACCGGTTGATAGCCTGATAAATTTTATTTATTCTCTTGCGTGTTGTGCTTGCTTTCCGGTTAATATGGCTGTCAATCAATATGGCATGCTTCCATTTAACGGAAAGACAGATTTTGATATCTGGAAACAGAAAATTAAATGCGTGTTGATCCAACAGAAAGTCTATAGAGCAGTGACTGGTCTCTATTTAGACTCTGAGGATGCTGCTAAGCGCGATGAAATGAATGAAACTGCTTGTTCCTCTATATACCTGAACCTTTCTGATTCAGTACTCAGGAAGGTGGGTATTATAGATTCTGCAAAGGCTTTGTGGGACAAGTTAGATAAGACGTATACCGATACTTCTTTGCCTGATAAATTGTTTTTGCTTGAGAAGTTCTTTAGATTTAGGCTTGACCTGTCTAAGGACATAGATGAGAACCTAGATGTGTTTAACAAGCTTATTCAGAATATTAAGCAAGCCGGTGATAAACACATAGATGACTACACACCCATAGTGTTACTTAATGCCATCCCTGACTCATACAATGGCGTCAAATCTGCCATAAAGTATGGTAGAGATGATATCTCGTTGGATGTAGTCATTAATGGATTAAGGAGTAAGGAGTTAGACCTTAGACACTCGAGGGGTAGTAACAGTCAGTCTAGGGACTCAGGTGAAGCGTTGTTTGTGAGGGGTAGGTCTAAGAGTAGATCTAGAAACCATAAGAAGGGCAACAACGATAAGAACAAAAACAATGACCCGGGGAAGAAGAGAGGTAAGTCTAAGAAGAGAGTGTGCTATAATTGTGGTAATTCTAGTCACTTCATTAAGGATTGTCCCCATCCGAAGAAGTCTGAACATGCTAATGTGGTAGATGATAATAATTTGCATGAAGAAGTTTTTATGATTTGTGATTCTGCCAATTCTGTGTTGAGTAGCATGACTGAAAATGAGTGGTTGATTGACTCTGGTTGTACTTATCATATGACACCTTTTAGATCCCTGTTTTCTTCTTATTATTCTTGCAATGATGGTTTTGTGTCTCTTGCTGATAATAAGAAATGCAAAATTCATGGGGTGGGTGATGTATGCTTGAAGTTTGATAATGGGACTGTGTTTACTATGAAAAATGTGAGGCATGTTCCTGATTTGCGTCATAACTTGTTTTCTGTTGCTGCTTTTGAGGGTAGTGGGTTAGAGGGTAAATGGGGTAATGGGTGCATGAAAGTCTTGAAAAATTCCCTTGTTTTGTTTAAGGCAAAAAAGGTGAATAACTTGTATGTGTGCCATGCTCA